AAGCATTCCGCATATTAATATACAAATAATAGCTGCCAGCTCAGACACTGATGAACGGAAATCTTTGCAAATGAAATGTGAGCTCCATTAGAAAAAGGAGAATTATGGCATGATAAAAACGAGAAGTTGATATTAAAGGAAAATAATCTCTGAATCAATGAAATATCTATAATATTTTTGATAACCCAAGAAAGAAGCGCTTGCATAAGACGCATGGAAAACTTGGTCAACATATTCCAAAAATAGTTTTTCAAGAACTCTGAGAGACGGGTTTACCCAAGAGGCAGATGGATCTGTATATATAGCTTATATTTTTCAGGACATATTCCCGCCGATCTAACAAAACTTTAACTTTGGATAATCTGTTCGTTAACTATAGTTTTTTTCATATTTGTTTTGATTTAGCTGCGAAATGGACGAAGCGAATTGTTATCTTGTGCTGGAGGATGGCACCGTGATGCCGGGCTGGGCATTCGGCGCTAAGAGTACGCCCACAAGCGGAGAGGTGGTGTTCCAAACGGGCATGGTCGGCTACACGGAGGCCTTGACGGATCGCTCGTACAGTGCGCAGATTCTGGTCCTGACCTATCCGCTAATTGGCAACTATGGAGTGCCGGATGTCAACCAACTGGACGAGTTTGGACTGCCGGAGCACTTTGAGTGGCTGCAGGGCGCCGTCCAGGTGGCCGGCCTGGTGGTGGGCGAGATTTGCGACACGCCCTCGCATTGGCGTTCACAGCGCACGCTGTCCCAGTGGCTGGCGGAGCATAAGGTGCCCGGCATCAGCGGCATCGATACGCGCGCCCTGACCAAAAAGCTGCGCGAACAGGGCAGCCTGCTGGGCCGCATTGTCTATGAGAAGCCGGGCAAGCAGCTGGCTCCGTTCGAGGATCCCAATCAGCGCAATCTGGCCAAGGAGTGCGCCGTCAAGGAGCCGCTGCTGTACAAGTCGCCGCAGACGAGCGGACCACGCATTGCCATCATGGATTGCGGCCTGAAACTGAATCAGCTGCGCTGTTTGGTGCAGCGCGGCGCGTCCGTGCAGCTGCTGCCCTGGAGCGCAGAGCTGAAGGAGGATCAGTACGATGCGCTGTTTCTATCGAATGGACCGGGCGATCCGGCCAGCTGCCAGCCGATTGTGGAGCAAGTGAAGCGCGTTCTGCAGGCTGGCAACAAGCCCATCTTTGGCATCTGCCTTGGCCATCAGCTGCTGGCCACGGCCATTGGCTGCGACACCTACAAGATGAAGTACGGCAATCGTGGCCATAATTTGCCCTGTCTGCATCGCGCAACTGGGCGCTGTCTGCTCACCTCGCAGAATCACGGCTATGCCGTCGATCTGGCCAAGCTGCCCGCCGACTGGGAGGAGCTGTTTGTCAATGCCAACGATGGCACCAACGAGGGCATTGTACACCGCACCAAGCCCTACTTCTCGGTTCAGTTCCATCCGGAGCATCATGCCGGTCCCAAGGATACCGAGTTCCTCTTCGATGTCTTCCTCGAAGCTATAAGCCAGCCGCAAATAGGCGTGCCCAATCTAATCTCGCGTCGGCTGCGCGTCACCCAGCCCGAGGCGCTGCCGCGACCTCGCAAGGTGCTCATATTGGGCTCTGGCGGCCTGTCGATTGGCCAGGCCGGCGAATTCGACTATTCCGGCTCGCAGGCCATCAAGGCCATGCGCGAGTCAAACATACAGACGGTGCTGATCAATCCCAACATTGCCACCGTCCAGACGTCCAAGGGCATGGCGGACAAGTGCTATTTCCTGCCCCTGACACCCGACTATGTGGAGCAGGTCATCAAATCGGAGCGGCCCAACGGCGTCCTGCTCACCTTTGGCGGCCAGACGGCACTCAACTGCGGCGTCGAGCTGGAGCGTGCCGGCGTCTTTGCCAAGTACAATGTACGCATCCTGGGCACGCCCATACAATCGATCATCGAGACGGAGGATCGCAAGCTGTTCGCCCAGCGTGTCAATGAGATTGGCGAACGTGTGGCGCCATCCGAGGCGGTGTATACCGTGGCCGAGGCCCTGGATGCAGCCGGCCGCTTAGGTTATCCGGTGATGGCACGTGCCGCCTTCTCGTTGGGCGGCCTGGGCTCCGGGTTTGCCAACAACGAGCAGGAGCTAAGGACGCTCGCCCAGCAGGCGCTCGCCCATTCCAATCAGCTAATTGTGGACAAGTCGCTCAAGGGCTGGAAGGAGGTGGAGTACGAGGTGGTGCGTGATGCCTACGACAATTGCATCACGGTCTGCAACATGGAGAATTTCGATCCGCTGGGCATACACACGGGCGAGAGCATTGTGGTCGCGCCCTCGCAAACCCTCTCCGATCGCGAATACCAAATGCTGCGCAGCACCGCCCTCAAGGTAATCCGGCACTTCGGCGTCGTCGGCGAGTGCAACATACAGTATGCGCTCTGCCCGCACTCGGAGCAGTACTACATCATCGAGGTGAACGCCAGACTGTCGCGCAGCTCGGCGCTGGCCAGCAAGGCGACCGGCTACCCGCTGGCATATGTCGCCGCCAAGTTGTCGCTGGGCGAGCCGCTGCCGGAGATCCGCAACTCGGTGACGGGCAATACGACGGCCTGCTTTGAGCCCAGCCTGGACTACTGTGTGGTGAAGATACCACGCTGGGATTTGGCCAAATTCGTGCGCGTCAGCAAGCACATTGGCAGCTCCATGAAGAGCGTCGGCGAGGTGATGGCCATTGGCCGCAGCTTCGAGGAGGCATTCCAGAAGGCATTGCGCATGGTTGACGGCGATGTCCAGGGCTTCGATCCGTATCTGGCGCCCGTCGAAAAGGAGCAGCTATCGGAGCCGACAGATCGTCGTCCCTTTGTGCTGGCCGCTGCCCTCCGGGCGGGCATGTGCATCGAGGAGCTGCACGAGCTGACCAAAATCGATCGCTGGTTCCTGCACAAGCTGCACCACATCATCCAGTTCTATGGCCAGCTGGAGTCGGCTGGCAGTCAGCTGACCCCGGCCCTGCTGCTCAGCGCCAAGCGCCTGGGCTTCGCGGACAAGCAGATCGCTATGGCCACCAAGAGCACAGAGCTAGCCGTGCGCCAGCAGCGCCACGAGCACAACATTCGCCCCTACGTCAAGCAGATTGATACCGTGGCGGGCGAATGGCCCGCCAGCACCAATTACCTATACAACACGTACAATGCATCCGAGCATGATGTCCTCTTTCCCGGCGGCCATACGATTGTCGTCGGCTCGGGCGTCTATCGCATTGGCTCCTCCGTGGAGTTCGATTGGTGCGCCGTCGGCTGCCTGCGGGAGCTGCGCAATCTAAAGAAGTCGACCATCATGATTAACTACAATCCGGAAACGGTGTCCACCGACTACGACATGTGCGATCGCTTGTACTTTGAGGAGATTAGCTTTGAGGTCGTCATGGATATCTACGAGATGGAGCGCTCCGATGGCATCATACTCTCGATGGGCGGCCAGCTGCCGAACAATATTGCCATGGATCTGCATAGGCAGCAGGCCAAGGTGCTGGGCACCTCGCCCGAGTCGATTGATTGTGCCGAGAATCGTTTCAAGTTCTCGCGCATGCTGGACAGAAAGGGCATCTTGCAGCCGCTGTGGAAGGAGCTGACCAATCTACAGTCGGCCGTTGAGTTCTGTCAGGAGGTGGGCTATCCGTGCCTGGTGCGACCCTCCTATGTGCTCTCGGGTGCGGCCATGAATGTGGCCTACTCAGATCAGGATCTGGAGACATATCTGAATGCCGCTTCGACCGTGAGTCGCGAGCATCCTGTGGTCATATCCAAATTCTTGACCGAAGCCAAGGAAATCGACGTGGACGCCGTTGCAGCCGATGGCCAAATCTTGTGCATGGCCGTCTCCGAGCATGTGGAAAACGCGGGCGTTCATTCGGGCGACGCGACGCTGGTCACGCCGCCGCAGGACTTGAATGCCGAGACCCTGGAGGCCATCAAGCGCATCACACGCGACCTGGCCAGCGTCCTGGATGTCACCGGACCCTTCAACATGCAGCTCATTGCCAAAAACAATGAGCTAAAGGTCATCGAATGCAATGTCCGTGTCTCGCGCTCCTTTCCCTTCGTATCAAAGACACTCGACCATGATTTTGTGGCGACGGCCACACGAGCCATTGTTGGCATGGACGTGGAGCCCATCGATGTGCTCCACGGCGTCGGCAAGGTGGGCGTCAAGGTGCCACAGTTCAGTTTCTCGCGACTCGCCGGTGCCGACGTCCAGCTGGGCGTCGAGATGGCCTCCACCGGCGAGGTGGCCTGCTTTGGCGACAATCGCTACGAAGCCTACCTAAAAGCCATGATGTCCACCGGCTTCCAGATACCCAAAAATGCCATTCTGCTATCCATTGGCAGCTTCAAGGTGCGTAGATCCTTCACATTTATATATAATTGCCAAATGTAATTGCCTGTTTCCTTTGCCCACAGCACAAAATGGAGTTGCTTTCCTCCATTCGAGATCTGGCCAAAATGGGCTACAAGCTGTACGCCTCGATGGGCACCGGTGACTTCTACGCGGAGCACGGCGTTGACGTGAGTAGAAGTGCCTCCTATTCAAGCCATATCATATAGTTGTCCGATTGAATGCCACCCGGGCATATGCTTTGGGGGGACTTTATCTGCGAATCTCTCTCTCTCGAAGAAGAAGTAGAGTGCGCAATTGGAAGAACCAGAAAGTTAGACACAATCAGGAAATTCGCCAAGTTCCGAAATTCCAAAAGTCTTCGACTCTCTCTCGAAGAAGAGAACACAAGTGGAAGAGCCAGAAGGTTAGACGCAATCAGCGATTGCTAAAATTTATTTTAGATGTTTTATTTTTTCATTTTATGATATGATAAGAAGTCGCAATCAGAGAATTCGGTTCCCAAATTGAAAATAGGTCAGAAGAAACTCAATAATGATTTGTTTGCTTGCCAGCTTTTGCCCATGGGTATGCCCGGGCAAAGCCGGGTAATGCCCGCCAGAGTGCAAAAAAAAAAAAAATGCTTATCAAACAGCTTTATAAGACATGATCGAAATAAGTTGCTTGCTTGCGTTTCGCTCGGTTTTCATTTTACAATTAGTCTGGAGTTATCAAGATGGGCAGCAGACCGAAGACGGAAGCCAATCGGGCGTACTTGAGGGCCATTCCGATAATCTCATAGAATGATGTATATATAGATAACGCCTCTAGGGCGTAGTCGGGCTGTCGGGGTTAAGAGGAGCTGCTAATTGAAAGCGCTCTTCAGCTTTTGTGTATTCCGCTTGAGCATGTCGCGTAGCTCGTCGCGCTTCGCTTCCGGCGCCAATGTTTGCATCAGCTGCTCCGTCTTGGTGCTTATGACTTGCAGTGCTCCGGCATCCACTTGGAGTCGCTGCAGCAGCGGCCCCAAAATGCTGCCCTCCATGGCGTTGGCTGGCACAGACGCCTCTGGCACGGGCTCTGTCTCGGCCTCCGGCTGCGGCTCGGGCTCTCGCTGTCTGGCCTCCAGGATGATGTCGTCGTCGTGCTCATTGGACTTGGGCGGCGCACGCTGTGTGCCTGGTGGCGCGGGTGGCTGCAGCGGCAGCAGCTCGCCTGAGTGCATCTGCACGACATGCTCCACGAACTTGAGAGACTTGCGGCGCATGGGACTGGAGCTGCAGCTGGCGGCGGGGCTGCCGCGGCTAGTGCTGGCGCTGGTGGTGGCCCGCTCGATACTGCTCGCCGCCTGGCACAGTGCGTCCGTATAGTGCTGGGCATACTGGGAGCAGCCCAGCTGCTGGTAGAGCCGGCACAGGCGCTGCGCCTGCTCCAAATAGAGCTGGGCGTGCTGTGCATTGCGAAACTCCGTCGCCTTGGCCAGCATGGCCAGCATGTGATCCAGCAGCAGCTCCAACAGATTGGTGCGCCGCAGGATCTCGAAGCCGTCGTTGAGTTGAGGTGTTGTCGTTGTTGTTGTTGTTGTTGTTGTTGTTGTTTTAGTTGCAGCTGCAGCTGTGGCGGATGTGTTGCTGGATGTGTGGGATGTCTGCGATGTGCGGGGCATCAGCAGCGGCAAGTCCAGCGTCAGGGACTCGCTGGAGTCGCGGCGCTGCTCGGCCAGCTTCAGCTGCTGGGCCCGCAGCATTTGCGTCTTGCGGCGCAGCTTGCCGCGCGTGCGTTCCTGATGCTGACGCATGCCCAGCAGACCCTGTGCATCACTGGGCTCCAGCTCTGGCGGCTGCTGTTCCCGCTGCGGTTCCCGCTGCTGCTCCGTTACGGGCAGCGTGTTCCGCGCAAACTTGGCCCAGCCGCGCAGCTGCAGATAGTCCTGGGCCAGAAAATTGTCGAGCAGCCGGCGATAGTTGAGCTTGGGATAAAAGTCGTCGGCATGCTGGAGATTGCGCAGCGCCTGGAGCACATGCATGAGCGGCTGCTCGGCAATGCCCGCCATGATGGCGCGCAGCTCCATGAGCGCATCCTCTGGCACATGCTCGAAGAGATTGCGCCGCTCGATGAAATAGTCGCTCAGCTGCTTCTTGGCCAGGCAATCAGCAAAGGTGCGCACGAAGCGCACCAGCCTCTCGCCCAGAAACTCCTCCGGCCAGTCGTTGCTGTGTCGCTCGCATTGCCAGAACAGATGCGTCCGCAGCTGCTCCATGATGTGGCCCATTGCCTGGCATTTCTCGTTAACGAACGTCCGCACCAGGGCCTTCATCAGCAGCAGAATCTTTAGCTGCATGCGCGTCAGCTGGCGCTCGAGAAACTGCTCCGCCTGCGGGAATACAATGCGCCACTCCAGCTCACGGAAGGGATTACGCGCCCGCTTCGGCGCATAGCCCACGGGCACCACATGGAAGCCAAAGGATTGAATGCGCTTGCGCATCAACGTGGTCGGCCATTGGAACTTCTCGCCCGTGTGCAGATTGGTCAGCTGCGGGCGAGCGCGCAGATTGAACTCAAAAGCGCAGTCCGGCCAGCTGTGCGGCACATGGATAGCGGGCACCAGCTCCTCCGTGGCCGTATAGATGCTGCAGCCACGATAGCTGCCAGCCGACAGCTGCGACTGGCTGATACCCAGCTCTCGAGCCAGCTGCTGGCGCAGCAGCTCGGCAAAGTAGTTCATAAACTGCTGGGAACTGAGATAGCATTGCTGGAGGAGATCGCGCCGGCGCTGCTGCTCCACGCGGCACTGGCGTAACACCTGCACCGTTTCGTAGCCGGAGCGGCTGCTCTCCTGCCACTGCTGCAGATCTTGATTCGCGTCATCGTCTTCGTCGTCGTTGCTGCTGCTTGCATTGGAGTCCACCTCGTCGTCGTCGCTCTGCTCCAGCCAGGCCGGCAGGCAGCTGATCAGCCGGCAAACGCACGCCTCGGGCAGCACATTTCGCTGCAGTGGCTCCTCGCACATGAGTTTCAGCTCGGACATGGGTCGCTGTGTATTCAGGCGCGCTATGTACACATGATCATAGTCGCCCTCGCACCAGCTGCCTCTGCCCGAGCCCGAGCCCGAACTCGAGCTGGAGCCAGGACCGATAGTGCTGTAGCCGGAGCTGCTGTAGGCGGCATCAATGTCGCCCTCGTCGCTGCTCGGGCTGCTGCCCGAGCTGCACTGCATGGGCATCGGCTCACGCAGCTTGAGACGCACATAGCCCATCCAGCGGCTTTGCTCCAGCAGCTGAACATACTGCGAACGACAGGGCGTCGTGTTATAGTAGTCCGTCTCCAACAGCACCTTGCAGAGCGCCGCTATGGAATCATAGTTCGCGTCATTGGCCCTGGCGATATCTACATTCTCGAACACCACGTACGTCAGCGTCTTCTGCAACGGCTGCGGCTGTGCCGGAACATGGCCTGAGCCCGACTGGCGATGTGGGCCATCTCTGTACACAAAAAGGAGAATCGATTAGCAAGGTTCTCCGACTAGCTTAAGGCATTAAATATTAGTTAGTCATAGAAAGTATGGGATAGGAGCAACCTTAGCAGCCGTTTGACCCGAGGGTTCAAGTTCCCGACTAGGAGCTTTGGTTTGGCTGGGTTGGCCTAGGTGTTCACACTATCCAGTTTGTAGCGTGCTTGACTACAGACACACAGAAGAGCACGTTAGAATTCCAGGCAGGTCCTGCAACCGGCAGGAGCTCCTTGGGCAGTGAATACTCGACAACAGATAGCTGCCTCTTCTGTGTCCTAACTATAAATATAGTTGGCACAAATCTATGTTCGAGCTCAGCAAATGTTAATTACTTAAGAACTTCAGGGGAAGATCTTGGTCTAATGTAGGCTACTAGTGTTCCAAACTTACGTGGGCTTGAAGAGCAGCCGCTTGGAAACGGCCACATCGATGGCGCTGGCATGGATCAGACTGTGCTCGTTGAGGGTCTGGCCGCAGGCGCGCTGCCTGGCCTGCAGCTGGTCGTCGATAGCGGCCAGCTCGTTCTCGTAATGGCCAAAGAACTGGATGCCCAGTAGCAGCTGGTTAAGCAGGAACGTGTGCAGCTGCCGCTCCAGCTGATGTCGCGTCTTCTCTTCGATGACGCGCTGGTGCTCCTCCCGCTGACCCTCCAGCGTTCGGGCATATAGCGCACTCACACATTCGGTGGCGCTGCTGCCGTTGCTGCCCCCAAGCAGCCGCAGCTGTGGTGCCAGATTGTGGCTGCCACGAATGCTGCCGCTGCCGTTGACATTGACGTTGCCACGCATGCTGCGCCGCAGGCTGTTGCTATTGGCGCCGCGCTGATGGCGCCGCTTGCGTGCGTTGCGCTTCTGCAGCTTGGCCAGCTGGCGCTGACGCTTCTCCTCCTGGCGGCGGCGCTGTTGCACACGGGGCGGCGCCTCCGCCGCTTGCAACTGCTGCAGCGGACTGGGCAACGCATTGCCGTCTGGCTCCTTGGACCAGGTACAGCCCATGGATCGGTTGGGTGTCTATGTATGTGTGTGTGTGTGTGTGTTTGTCCAGCTGGGGGATTCGACTTGAGGATAACAAACGCAGCGCAACGCTTGCAGCTGTGTCTCCTTTCTTACTGATACCGATCACGCTGATCAAATGTCATTTTCTTGCCAATCTCGTTGTCGTCGCTGTCGCTCTTGATGTTGCTGTTGCCTAGATAAGATCGCCGTCAAGACCAATACCAACAATAGCACCTATTGGCGACAAGTGCCGATTCCTCTTACACTTCCGGCCGGCCAAGTGGGGAGGCCTTGTTATCAGCCTTTCTGGCATGTAAACACGACGACGGCGCGCACAGTGGAGCACACAGACAAAATGAGATGCAAAAACAATACATCTATATCCATTGGATATACTTGTAATACTTGGATATATTTAGTCTTAATAGATCTGCTGACCTGCTGAAATTCCTCTTCAACTAAATCCCAATGCATATTTGAATATTCCCGGAAAAAACACTATCAATACGTGGGGCTTTCTTTTGGTTTTTATTCTACGTGTGTTTTTCCAAGACTAATAAGCTGCATTTGAATGTTATTAATACAAATCTGTTATCTAAAAGCATTCATTAAAATGCATTAAAATATGATTTAAGATCGGAAACGTCGAAACTCACGCCATCTAATTTACAATCTTGTTCACCGCCAGCTTTATACAAAATGGAATGTGTAAATGAAGAGAATTTTTAAAATAGAACAGTCAGCTTTGAGCAAAACTCTAACGGGCTATTGATAGTTGTTATCGATATCGATATCGATATTTATCGACTAAATAATGGCCAACATTGTCCAAAAATATGCCAAGGACGTTTAAGGCTCCCATGCAATACCGTGTAAGGGTTCATATATTTGGCTCATTCAAAATAAAAACAGCACCGAAAGGGGCTGAGCATTTTGTATAATCGATAACTGATCGATTGTAGATAATCGATAATTTATCGATGCGTTATTTTTTCTGCCGGTGCCACTGTGCCACATTTCGAGTGTAATGTTTTATTGTTACAAATGCTATTCGCATTGGTATTACTATTGCCCATGTACAAGTGAATTATTATGTAGGTCTAAAGAGAACAGTATCTTTATGTGGCCTAGGCAAACATTTGCCAATGAATGGTGGTAAATTTGGCCTTGGACTCGGTCTGCATGCGCTGTGCTACGCTTGATACAAATGCTAAACAATGCCCCATTTCTTCTCTCGATTGCAGGTCGAGTCCGTACAGTGGACATTCGATAAGACAACACCCGATGATATCAATGGAGAGCTGCGACACTTGGCCGAGTTTCTGGCCAACAAGCAATTTGATCTGGTCATCAATTTACCCATGCGTGGCGGCGGAATCCGCAGGTAAGTCATGTTTACCTTTTCAATTGATCGGGAACTGTGAGCTGTGAGATCAACATGGACAGTCCTTACGAATGTATAATGTGCAGAACTTAAATAAGAATCCCCCCTAGCTTTCATATTCGAACCCTTCATATGAGTACTCATGACTGAGTATGCTGTTTTCTATGTCTATCTGCGAACCCATTGAGTACTCATCATGTTATCTATGTATAGCTTGTTTTTTGTCATCTCCGTATTCATTTATTATGTATGTATATTCTCGATCAGCATGACGAGCTGAGTCGTCAGCTGGGATGGGTTCTCATGTCATATATGCGTATTATAATAGGTTTATTTTACTGTTAATTTTTCTTTATTTTCATAAACTTCGCCCTGTTATGCGATTTTCATGAATTTAAGTACTCTTACACGTATGTATTTAAGTTATATTTCTCTATCAAAGTGTTGTTAAATCTTTTCTCGTCTCGCCACGCTGTTATTATATTCTTCATTTTACTCGCTTTCTCTCTCATTTTATTTAACCTATTCTAGCTTGCTTTAAACCTCTCCGCCTCAATCACTGATGTTCTCTCTCATTTCTCATATTTATTCTCGCCAATTCTTAATTACTCGCTTTCTGCCCGCTTAAACAAAGCCTTTCTATGCGATTCTCATGAATTCATGTAAATGCTTCGTCTTTTTGTTGTTGTATTTCTTTAAAGTGTTGTGTGTGCAAGTGAATTATAGATATTTATATGAATGAATGTTAATTGGCTTTGAATCGAACCCAGGGTCTCATCATTCATGACGCATGGCTATCGGACACGTCGCCTGGCGGTTGACTATTCCATACCGCTGGTGACGGACGTCAAGTGCACCAAGCTGCTGGTGGAATCGATGCGTGTGACTGGTCGCAATCCGGGCATGAAGACGCATACGGACTGCATGACGTCGCGTCGCATTGTGAAGCTGCCGGGCTTCATAGACGTGCATGTGCATCTGCGGGAGCCGGGCGCCACCCACAAGGAGGACTTCGCCAGCGGCACCGCAGCCGCTCTAGCCGGCGGCGTCACAATGGTCTGTGCCATGCCCAACACGAATCCGGCAATTGTGGATCGCGAGACGTTCAATCAATTCCGCGAGCTGGCCCGAGCCGGGGCCCGCTGTGACTATGCGCTATATGTGGGCGCCTCGGACACCAACTGGGAGCACGCTCATGAGCTGGCCACGCAGGCGTGCGGCCTGAAGATGTACCTTAACGATACGTACGGTACGCTGAGGCTCAGCGACATGGCCGCCTGGCAGCGTCACCTGTCGCGCTGGCCCAAGCGGGCGCCCATCGTTTGTCATGCGGAGCGGCAGAGCATGGCGGCTGTTATGCTGCTGGCCCATCTGCTGGAGCGACCCATCCACATCTGCCATGTGGCGCGCAAGGAGGAGATTCAGCTGATACGTGCCGCCAAGGAGAAGGGCATGAAGGTTACCTGCGAGGTGTGTCCTCATCATCTGTTCCTTAGCACGCGCGATCTGGAGCGTCTGGGCGCCGGCATGGCGGAGGTGCGACCGCTGCTGTGCTCGCCCGAGGATCAGGAAGCGCTCTGGGAGCACATGGAGTACATTGATGTGTTTGCCACAGATCATGCGCCGCACACGCTAGCCGAAAAGCAATCGGAGCGGCCGCCGCCCGGTTTCCCCGGCCTGGAGACTATATTGCCGCTGCTGCTGCAGGCCGTGCACGAGGGTCGCATCACCCTGGAGGATATTAAGCGCAAGTTTCATCGCAATCCGCGCAATATTTTCAATTTGCCCGAGCAGCCGCAGACCTATGTGGAGATTGATCTGGACGAGGAGTGGACCATCAGCAACAATGAGCTGAAGACCAAAGCCCGCTGGACGCCCTTCCACGGCACCAAGGTGAAGGGTCGCGTCCATCGCGTCGTGCTGCGCGGCGAGGTCGCCTACATTGATGGCCAAGTGCTGGTCCAGCCCGGCTATGGCCAGAATGTGCGCTCTAAGCTGCCGCTGCCGCAAAAGTCCGAGACCGAAGGCAACGACCTGCCCAGCGATACCGATGTCAACGACACCTTCTCGCGCCTATTGACCGAGGGCACCGGCACTGCAACTGGCACCGGCGCCACGGGTTCACGCGCCACCAGCGTTCATTTCGTGGACGAAGCTGGCGCAAGTACATCGCCGGCGGCGGGCAGCATCTTGCGTCCGGTGTCGCCGGCGCCACGACTGCGTCTCGACTCGTCCAGCAATGCCACGCTGAAGGAGTATCTGCAGAAGAACTCGCTGCTGCCCACGCCGAATCCGGTGGCGCACTGCTTGGTCGGCAAGCATGTGCTCTCCGTAGACACCTTCGACAAGGAGCGCCTGAACGACATATTCAATTTGGCGCAGCTGCTGAAATCGCGCGTAACCAAAGACCGGCCCGTTGACGACTTGCTGCGCGGCAAAATCATGGCCAGCATCTTTTACGAGGTGAGCACACGCACCCAGTGCAGCTTTAGTGCGGCAATGCAGCGCCTGGGCGGACATGTCATCAACATGGATCAGGTCACCTCGTCGGTGAAGAAGGGCGAAACACTCGAGGACAGCATCAAGGTGATGGCCAGCTATGCGGATGTCCTAGTGCTCCGTCATCCCGAGCCGGGCGCCGTCGCGGTAAGTACATACAGTTATCATTACCACATTCGAAATGTGTCCAACTCATCCGGAATCCCTCTACATTCACAGCGCGCCGCTTCGTTTTCGCGCAAGCCGCTAATCAATGCCGGCGACGGAGTCGGTGAGCATCCCACGCAGGCGCTGCTGGACGTCTTCACCATACGTGAGGAAATTGGTACCGTCAATGGTCTAACAATCACCATGGTTGGCGACCTCAAAAACGGACGCACCGTCCACTCGCTGGCAAGTCTGCTCACCCTCTATAATATCACGCTGCAGTACGTGGCTCCGCCGGGCCTCGGCATGCCCGAGCCCATTATGCGCTATCTGCAGCAACGCGGCGTCACGCAGCTAACGTTCGACAGCATAGAGCAGGCGCTGCCCACCACCGATGTGCTCTACATGACACGCATACAGCGCGAACGCTTCAAGAGCGAGGAGGAATACCAGCGCGTATGTGATAATGCATTTATATAACCCGTACTTGCTCCAAATGTGTAGCATGGTATTTAAAATACTAGTTGAAGTAGCCTGAGACAAACCCTAAGAGATGAGAGAGGGATCGAGATCCGCCTGTCCGTCTGTCTATCTAATCGGGGTTAACAGCCGAGTGTGTGTCCGTCTGCCACTTTAAAGCAGATCGCTTTTGATTTACAAGCAGACTCCGTGTGGAAAACTTTTCTGTTTGTCAAGAAATCTTTCCAAAACTCACCAATTAAGATCTGCAGTATTCTCCTAACATATCAACGAGACCGTATCATGTCGGTCTGCTATATGAAGGTCCCGGCTGGACTTGGGATATTAACCAGTTGGGCGCTCCCGACTGGAGCGCTTGTTATTTGTTTTTGAAGCAATTGGAGCTAAGGACTTGTGCCAACTTTATTTTTTGCAGTGCTGCGGCCACTTTATTGTCACGCCCAAAATGATGACACGGGCAAATAAGCGTACCATAGTGCTGCATCCGCTGCCGCGCGTCGAGGAGATCAGCCGCGACTTTGACTCGGATCCACGTGCGGCCTACTTCCGACAGGCTGAGTACGGCATGTACATTCGGATGGCGTTGCTGGCCATGGTCGTTGGCTGTCGCAGCACGGCGCTCTGAACTTTTTCACAGTTTCAATAAAACTGCATTTTTTTTTTTCTTCTATTTTTGTACTTTTTATTAGCATATAAGCATAAATACAAGCGGCAGAACCAGTTGTTGCCTTAACACAAATAGTTTTATTTGATTTTATTTTTATTCAAATGATAACGGGCCAAAGAGGCAGCTAATTGGGTTGCTGTCTTGGCTAGTTACCGATAACTTAGCTATCGATAACATTGAAGCGTTGCTCAACACGCACAATATTCGAGAAAAGTGTGGCAGCTGCGCAATCATTTCAAATTATAAAAAACAAACATAGAATCATATTAATATATTACACAACGAGGGTAAGAAAAAAAAATGTTTTCCATAATATGTAGTATAATTGGCTTAAAAATCTATTCGTCAGTCTTTTATGTTCACAAACATCACGTGCTTTCCCAGCGCTATTTGTTTAATAGCGCTCGACAACAATCTCTGTGGGCCATTGATTTGCGTTATCCTTATCCTTATGCTTATAGTTGGCATCGACATTTAGGGTCAAGGTGCTCTCCGCAAAGGCGGCATTCAGATGCCCGGCCAGCTGTGGCTGTGATCTGTCCACGCTGGTCATTGCCACGGCCATGGCCCTGGCACTGGCCAACGACTTGGTCTGTAGCTGCTTGTTGCTCCTCTGGATGCAGCAGCTGGAAACCAAAATATATGGATTCACTGGCCATCGCTGAGTGGGATTACACTTACGTTTTACGTTTGCGACAGGCCACCATAGAAACGAGCACGGCCAGTATAATAATGGCCGCCAATAGGCCCGATAAACCTGCCACCATGGTCATCATGCCGTGCGGCTCCCCATCGGAGGTTACCTTAGTAACTGGCAAGATATATAGAGAACGGACAAGAGAGAGAGAGAGTGAGAGGTTAGTGTTCCAGTTTGGCAAGTGCCTTGCTGTCTGCCAGTTACGGACTGGCTGCGGCTCCGGCTACGGCCCGATTCGTAATGCATTCGACTCAGAGTCTGTGTCTCAGGGTCAAATCGTTGTGTGAACTTCAACTTGTTGATAATCGGTGATTGGCTGAATGCCGGCATTTGAGCTAATGCACACGTTTGTTTACCTTTACGCAATTGGCAATGACGATGGGCGAGGCAGCACGCCCACACAAACGCACTTCCCGTATTGCCCGTTGACTTTCTAAGCCGGAAGCCCAGACTTGATACTTACTTGAATCTTCGACAACAAAGCGCTTGCTGTTGGGTAACGCCGAAGCCTGAACGTAGCTATCCGCCTCCATTTGGAAATTCAGCTGATGCGATCTGTCAAGAAAGCGACAAGAAGAAAAGAAAAACAATAAATGGCCATGAAACACCTGTCCAAATATTGGCCAAAACTGGCTGGCTGCAGCAGGCAGACAAATGCTCAGCATATTCACAAAAACTATAACAACAAATAATAAGCATAATAATAACAGTTTTTCACTCTAGTTGATTGAGTTTTGGCCCAGTTGCAGCAACCGCTGGCCACGGCCACGCTCGGCTTCATTCGATTGTTGTTGCCCAATCTCTGGGCCAATACGCCCTCCCTCTCTAATTGTGGGCCAGCTTCGGCTTCGGCCTGTGCTAATTAATTGATTAGCTCAGTGCGTTAAACTGGCCTTATCACCATATAACAACAACAACAACAACAGCAACAACAACAACAACAGCAACAACAACAACAACAGCAACAACTTTGACAAGTTTCGGTTTCAGTTTCAGTTTCGTTTTTCAAGTTTTTTTTTATTGCTGTCGCTGATTTAGTCGACATTAATTAATTTGATTTAATTGTTAAGTGCTTGTTCTTAATCGCACACACAAAAAAAAAACTCAAAAATAAATAAATCAAATAAGCCCGAGAAAGTGTCGTCTCGCTTTTGTCTGGCTACAGCAAAGACGGCCAACACTATGCTACAGCGAAAGACTTTTATCTGTGGCTGGCAGCGAATAAAAAACAAAAACAAAAACAACAACAACAACAAAAACAAAAACAAAAACCATTAAATGTGAGCTAATGGAAATGTGTTGTGGCAAATGGAAACATATTGTGCGCACAGTCCTTGCCAAAAGTAAAACCCCGCTTCTGGGCATTTGAATTGAAATGCGTGCAGAGCAATAAATAAAATAACAATTGATTTATGGCACAGCTCAATTGTTAGTTAATTCAAATGATCTCGTGAGCATATTTAAATACAGATTACTCAATAGCAATAATTGAAAAATTTGCATAGAAATAGCCGACTTGTACTAATCTAATATACATATATACATCTATGTATATATGTATCTCACGTGACTTTGCAATTATTGGCCCAACCAGTTTGATATACACACATACATATGTACATATCTTCAATGGCTGCATGAGAAGAGTAAGAAGAGTTTTGGGAAAAGCGAAATTCGACTCAAATATGCATGCATGTGTGTATGGGTGTATGTGTGAGCAGCACAGTGTCAATGGACGCAGAGCAGAGAGTTGTACTCACACACGCACATACATACATGTATAGCATATATCTATGCATGTATGTATGCATGCTTGTAGAATAGGCAAATGGGCAAATGTTGTTGCGGAACGAAAAGAGGAACTTCTCAAGATCATGAGCAGAATGTTAACTCTCCTCTCGGCCCGTGTTGATCTGTGTTGTGTTTTATGGCTTGTGCTTGATTTGCATTTCAATAAAATAACTATCGAAATCTTTAATAGTACACACACACACACACACATACATGCATACATATGTACCGACATAGTGCCCATTGGGCTTATTGTGATATAAGGGAATTACATACATGCGCATGTGCATGTGCCTCGCGTATGTTCAAGCTAATCACAGATCCGCCTGCGAATGAAAAGGCGTGTGGGCAGATGGTCGAAGGGAGGAAGGTGGGGGGGGGGGGGGGGGGGTGCACATGGTTGCATGTCGTTGCCATTGGGGGGGGGGAAATTGTTGGAGAAATGCGAGCACGAGTTTGAGATTATTATTATTATTAATATTATTATAATTGTTTGCCTCTTTATTTTTTTTTTGTTTGTTTGCATTTATAGTTAAATTTTAATTTATTTAATCAGTTGTGCTTGCGGCGATTTGCAAGTTAATTGCACAATTTAATAGTTATAAATAACAGAACGGGATTGGGAGTGGAAATGGAAATGGTAGTGGATGTGCTGTGCCAGCATTATCTAGTCACATGTCCGACACAAATACTAGCACATATACTAAGAACAAATGCCATATAAATATGCTAAAATTACTAAATTGCCAATTGCACAATGCCAAGCCCGACAAATAACGGCTAATCCAATAAAAGATGTGACAGCCAAACAGAATCATATACATATATGTACATACACATACGTAACAGACACGTATCCTGATCGTTATGCCCCATGACACTGTGATACGGATTATCTTCTTGCGAAATTCAATTTAGTCGCAATTTGAATGATCGCTTTGATAGTAAGTGTCATAATCAGGAATTTGATTTATTTCTTCCGGAACTACTCCAAATTGAATGTCATAAAGCTGACATGCAAAATTCTTGAAAACTTGAAACTACTTTCACATAGCTCATTGGCCAGAGGTGCCAGGTAATTGAGAGCTAAGTGTTGCCCCAACGCACTTGACCAAATAAGCACACTCAAAAAACAAACAAACAAAAAAAAAACAAAAAAAAAGATTACAAAAAATTACAGACAGCAGTCAAGTCCTTTATTAGGTCGGTACTCACAGGCACAAATTGTTCGGTTTCCGAAAAGGTTTGATCTTGTTTGTTTCGGGATCTTTCGAAATCGAATTCGAAACCGTGAACTGACGTCGACAACGCTCAGCGTACGACTAATGCGGGCTACGTAAAGCCAAAACGTAACTTTCGATTGCGCCAAAAGCGAGCGACGACGACGACGGCGGCGGCGACGGCGGCGGCGACAGCGGCGTCGACGTTGCAGCAAACAACAGTCGCGGCTCGTTCAACGGAATCGGAATTGAAATTGTATTCGGAATTGGAATCGGAGGCAGTTAAGCAGCTCCGAATGTGAGTCGGCTTTATTGTTTCGGTACGGACTCTCAAACTTGACTTTGCAGCGATTTTATTTAAATTGAGCTTTAATCGAATTAAACTGTAACGAACGCAATGAAATTGGAGCTGGCGCACGAGTAGGAAAGCGATGCGAAAGCTCAATGCCAAGCCGCGAGTCTGTTGCACAGCCTTTATAATGCAGCCAAGCGCTCGCTCATCACAATAGATCTTCGACACTTACATACATGCATACATGCATACATGCATGCATGCATACATGCACACATGCATACATGCATACGCATTACTCATACGTCCCGGTGTGCGCGATGACGTTGATTGTAACAAGAGTTTTCGATTTCCAGTCAACTGATAAGACCAACATTGTAAAAGAATTGCCAATACATGACTGACTGTCTGTCTGTTTGTTAACATTGCTTCGGAGATTCCGACATGCCCATCTCCCAACCCATTTCCGTGTCCATCTCCGCCTTAGCGTCTGTGCGATGAGGCGTTTAAAAACACATGCTTCGGGCTCTTTGCTAATTTCCCCCCCACTAATTGCCATGCGGCTGAATCATCTGGCAACTGTTGAGGCTGTGGGTGCCTAATCTTTCGATTCTAATCGAACCATTGGCCGGCTGAATCCTCAACTGTTTTGCTGCCAAGAACGCAAATGTTTGCAAAGACTTGCAGCAGTGCAGGTGACGTCAGAAGGCGCTTAAAAATTGCAGTTAGGTGGCAACGCCCCAATTACCGTTAATCGATTTGAAGACATGCTTGCACAATTATTGCTGAGCAAAGATATCCCGAGAGACAGAACTCAGATCTGTCCTATTAAGGATGGGACGATCCGGTAACGAGATGTGAAATGAATAGAGGAAGACGTCTCCGCGCCCATCTAGTATAGCATATGCACGATCCGTATCGACAGCCGTTTTGTATTGTTATAGTTTTTGTTAGATAACCCTAAATTAGACTTCTACTTTGAGGTTGCAAGACAGACAGACTGCAATTAGCGCTTATTGCGCCTTGGCATTTGGCTAAGCTTCTGTTCAGTTCCGTTGCAATAATCTGTAGACTTTATATACACAAACTTTAAAAACAAAAACAAAAAAAAAACAACTGAATCGTTTATTAAAGTTAGTTGTTTTTGTTTGCAAGTGTCAATATACATATATGGATAGCTCGCCCTGTCCCTTTATAAAGGGGCATTTGTAGACGTACAACAAATGTGGACGGTTCTGTTCGCTTAGACAATGGAAGTGCGACATAAGTTTCTTTATGGCATCGGACTTGCATTTCAAAGTAAACGCAAATGTCAATTAAAATGGCACTCATCGTGCTTTGTGATAGCTGTTTGTTTATTTCGAATGCTCGATTGCATAACTCTCCACATTGGAAAGTCACGACTGAAAGTGAATCTATTCAGGAAGATAAATAATGTCTAATTTATCCACATGTCATATTACGTCTGATAATAAGCTTAACACTTAGTTGTTTGTCTCAGTAAGTGTCTTGATGGATTTGAACTTTTTTCTTTATATATATGTATATATTTAAAAAAAAAAAATAATTAATCGCTTTGAAGCTCTTAACAGCTACTGTTTTCGGCCTTTTTTTGACTCAATTATTATTAACTTATAGTTAATAATTTTAGTTGAATTCAATTTTTATTCTATTTGCCCATGTTTGTAAAGTTAGACGTGCATATATAGTTGTGCACTTTTATATTTTTATAAATTTTATTTTGCCGCAGGGCTAATCAAATTCTCGTGTTGTTTATTTTCATGTATAAATATATAATTATACGTACACATTTTGTCTTTTCGTATGTCAAATTTAACAGCCCTTCTGTGCTTTGATCTTGTAGAAAAGAGCCCTACTCTGCGATTCTCATAAATCGAATAAGCTCTTATCTGTGCGTGTAAATATTTGTTTGAAATGAAGCTGGCAAGCGAAACAACCTTATGTGAATGTGTGTATGTATACAAACCAAACGATGACGTCTGTTGCCAAAGCTAAATTCGTTTATACCCTATGTGAATACTGAAAAGCTCATCCACTGTTCGCCCAAATGCGTAGTACCCGGCGCAAAGATCTGTTTTTCCGCGGATTGAAAATATTTAAGAGCATTTCTGCCATATGGTAGGCACATATATATGCTTATATGCTTTATTTTTATTTTTATACCCTGAACCCATTAAAAATGGGTATACGGGTATATTGTATTTGTGCAAAATCCAAATGTATGTAACGGGCAGAAGGAAGCATCTCCGACCCCATAAAGTATATATATATTCTTGATCAGCGACAATAGCCGAGTCGATCTAGCCATGTCTGTCTGTCTGTCTGTCCGTCTGTCCGTATTGAAATTTTAGATGTAGGTGCTTCTAGTGCCTGTTTCCGATAATCGATAACTTACTCCGTTTCCAAGCAATCGATAAGAATCGATATCGATATCCTGTTTTTAGGGATATTTTGGTAAACATACTATGTTGCTTCTAAAATAGAAGAAGAGGGTTCAGGGTATCCCCTAGTCGGAAGCTCCCGACTAGAACCTCTTGTTATTTTTATTTCGATGTTAATTGAATGCTACTTTGATTCATTAAACATTCAGGCTGAATACAAACCCTTTTAGGAACATTCTGTTTCAGCTTGCATTTGTTATTCGACGCTGGGAAATGTTTATATTTTTGAAATGTTATTTTCAATTGCGTTTGCACTGATTGCACTTGCTTTTGCTTTCGTTGGCCCAAAATAGCCAGCAGCAAATTTGTCACACTGTTAGCGAGTCGCACTTGTAATTCGAATTGATAATATGTACACGGCACAGTCTCGCGTCTCTCGTCTCTTGTCTCTGTGCTGTAATGTGTGTGTTTTGTGATTCTGTTAAATGAGACAGCAGTTCGAAAAATATGTTCAATCAATTTTTTAAGACGAAATGTAAAACATATCGGAGTTGTCGGCAGTCGAACACTGAAAACGGCCTCTCGGTCTCGAAGGCATCGGCCCCAAATGGGCGCAAAAAAAAAAATAAAATAAAATTAAAAATAAAAATAAAAACAAAATCACCAAAATTTCGGACAGACGAATTTGTATATGTTTGTTGTTTTTATTCAGCTTTTCTGTTGTCTCGAAATAAATATACAAGTATATCGTATCGTGTATTTAGTTTATAGTATAGATTTGTACTCAAGTATTTGAAACGTCTCTTGTTGTTTATTTGGTGACGTTCGAAGAGAAACGCAAATAATTGAACAACAAATAAGAAGTGCTAAATATTTCAGATATTTGTTTCATTTTGAAACCTTCAAAGACAATTTTCATGGTTCTTTGCTGCGAAACTGCGCTAATTGATTGATATTTGATATTTAGCATTATTATTTATTTTTTCTCTTTTTTTTGGTAGACTTTTTTCCGTGTAATGAACTGAATATTTCGTAAATTGTTTACTATCTCACTTTTGTTCATCTTCAGCACGGCACGCTTTGCGAAAAAGTTGTTGAGTTCATTTGTTGTTGTTTTAATTGTAAGAATAATTATTTAGATTTTACAGCGTGTGGCTGTTGATTTAATGTTATCGATATTAACGATTGCCGGCCAGGATGGCAGCTGTTATCGAAGTGGCAATTAATCGATAACTGCGCCTTACTTCCGCATTGCTGTTAACCTAACAGCTGCGCATGCGTCGCTGTTGCACGTGCGAAAATCGTGACAGAATTGGCAATTCGCCAATTGCCAGCAATAGATAAATATGGGAGTCAACAACAAAACTGTGTGTGTGTACGTGTGTGTGTACATGTGCATTGTATATGTTAGTGTGTGTATGCACATATGGAAATGCAACGGTTTCAATTGTTTCAACATTCTGAAGCGTCACTGCCGCTGCGCTTAGCCACATTTAGTTGACGTTGACGTCAACGGATGGCTATTGTGTTGCCAGCGCAGCAGCAGCGGCAGCATCAGCGACAACAATAATTGATTTTGATAACAGCTTAGTTAATTTCACTGTCAAAAAGCGCTGTGCTGCCCCCCCCACCCCTCTGCCAGTACCGTTCAGTCATTCAGTCGCAAAGCCTGTTGCCCACTCCCACTAAATACAAATTGCCGTTGCGGCTGATAAATTACACTAATCGTTGCGCTGTGCTGCGACGCCAGCGGCGACATCGACGTAATTTTTTTTTTTTTTTTTGCATTGTTTGCGTGTTTCGCTTAGTCTTCGTTATCGACTCCGTCTCTACCTTTCTCGCTCGCGCTAAGCACGACTTGAAAGCCCGCTAAACAGGAAAGGAAAACGAAGCTTAAGTGCCGTTATTGAAATTCGACCGCTTTTATGCATGTATGCACACATATGTGTACACACATACATATGCACAGAGAGTAAATTGCATACATAGTATACATATATAATACATTTCAATTTATTTGTTTGTGACTGCAGAAGTTGACAAGTTGTTATTCGGCCTCGTCTGTAAATTTCCAAACAACATTTGACAAGCACACGGCAAAAGCGTCGAATATATACCGTGTCTGCGAAAAGTTATCGCACGCATCTAAAGTGTCAGCGAATGCAATTATCGATAACAAAAAATGTATCAAGCTATTTTAAAGTTACTTTTCTGAAAATATCGAAAATGTTAAACGCTCAGTAACAGTTACATAAGCTTCGTTCTTTGCCCAAAAAGATATTTGCATATACTCCCAAAAAGTATGCTATATTCTACAAGCTGTACCTCAACGACTCTATACCGACGCACACATACCATGTTAACTGATATTTGACCCTGGCGAAAGGGGAGACACCCCTAAAACCGCTCTAAATTGTACGATTCGCCAGAATTTGTTGGGTGGGGTTTGGATGTTTGTATTTCAAAATAATCTGTATCAATTTTAGCAAACGGTTTCTGTTATCATCGCTGTTGTGGTCCAATTAATGTCAGTATAAAAATTCGATATAGTCGAAATCTGAGCGTTGGACACAATTTGGTAAACTGCTCAGCATTTGCCAACTACAGCGAATTGATGCTGCCCTTCTTGTTCTTATTCATGCCAAGGTATTCCCACCAAGTTGTCGGCTTGGCGGGGCCGGCAGCCGCTGCAGCCGGCGCTTGAGCCACTGCAGTGCCGGCCGCCTGGGCAGCAGTGCTAGCTGGGATCTCCTTCAGCTTGGCTGCGTCCGCTGTATTATGGCTGGCCTTGACAGGCATGCTGGACTCCTTCTTGGACGCCCTCACGCTGTTCACATTGGTGGTCTGAATTGTCGCGTTCGATTGCTGCGGTGTCGGTGCAAGACTGGGACGTGGCGTCCCAGTTGCACTATTCCGGCGGCGTTGCCCGCTCGAAAACCATTTACCCAGGTACGGCATGCACATGGCGCAGGATGATATTCGTTTGCGTATCAGAAATTTTGAACTTGCGAAAGGTCGAAATGTATGTGTGTTAATTTTAAGTTAGCGTCCTCGTCTATTATGGCATTTCATGTCAGTTTACCGGCAAGGCAAGCTGCCTGAGCGCTGGCGCACTGCTTGCTGCGACAGCCAGCCACAAATACAAACAAAACAAAACAAACAACAAGGCGCACAGTGGTTCAAACGCACACGCACACACTCGCACAATTCAGATCTCGATAAAAATCCAAAAGACTGCGAACTTCGATTTGATAATAATGTAAATAAACCTTAATCTTCTCAATCATTTGTATGCCTCGGAGCAGCGAATGACAACACATTCAAGTATGCTGTTATGTGTGTATGTGTATTCACACGCATACAAACATAATTGCTTGCACGACCCTCACAGAGCCGAAGCTGAGAGTACATTATTCTATTTTTAGCTTTTTCGCTCTCTCTTGGCTGTGAGAGCGCATTGTGAGAGTGCAATGATACAGGCTGCCTTTTACGTTCTCAATTTTCAAAATATCAAGCTGCACAGTAGCATTTTGTTGCATCACATTTTTTTTTTTTGCATCAAATCTTCAAATAAAATTTGAATATGACTTTTTAATATTTGTTGGTTGTGCAAGTGAAGAGAGCTATTCTTTGAAACAGGGCTGAAGACACATACAAATAATTGTCGGTACACGGCACCAATGCGGTTCAGGTTCAAACCCTGTCTTGTCCTATATACGCTCTAATGAAACTATTATCAATATCGCGAAAGTTATATTTGTAATCGGTATTGAAATTAAATGTTTTTTAAATGCTTTTATTTTCAAGCAAAATATTTTTGAATCAACATCGAATCGGTTTCAGTTCCGTTGTTTTCTTTTGGATTCTGATATAGTGCGACGGCGTGCAGACGCCGCTTGGGGGGGGCAAGTAGGCAAAGACAACATATAAATACTTGAGATTGTGTTTGACAGCTCTATATATAGAGGCGCACCATCTGCTGTTGTCTGGTTGCAGCTGGAGAAGTGCGTTGCTTAGTTTGTTACGAACCAGCGAATAGCATCCATGGCTTCCTTTGGTACACGCAGCATGAGCCAGCCGCCGGGCATTAAGATCTGCTGCTGCCGTGTCCTGACTTGCATCAACTTTGGCTTTGTGCTCTCGCGGGGCGGCCTCTTGAAGCTGATGGAGCTGGGCCTGGCCATGTTGTGTGAGGGTCTGCTTATACGTTATGGTGTACCCTACGCCGACTCCATTGGCCAGGCGCTGACCAGTCTATTGGCCACAACTGGCCATTGCTTCACCACGACAGGCATCTTGCTCATATGCTACTGTTTCTCGGATAGATCCTATGGCCTGATCCGACAGTCGCTCTTTGTAAGTATACCCAACACCCAGGTCATTGGATCATACACAATCTCGGCCATTTTGCAGGAGACGCTCTTCAATGCCATCGCCAGCTGCATGTACTTCAGTTCGGCCAGCTACATGGGATTCGCCTGTGTCGTCTGGCTGCATCCTCAGTTTCTGGTGCGTCCCGGATTCTGGGCGTATCCAGCCATGACGGCCGCCTACGTAAGCAACTGTTTACCATCTGCTAGTTCCATAGGAAAATATATTGTCTCTATTTTTTTTTTATTCATATTTTGCAGTACATGGGCTATGCGGCGGGTCTTTTACACGCCATCGACGCATTTCTTGCCTTCAGGCACTTTCGAGGGGCTCGTTAGGAACTAATTACTGTATCTTAAAAATATTAAATAAAGCTCGTGATATATTAAAACTCACAGAAATCTAGCATATTTTATAAGAAAGGCATTCTCATACCTGGTCTTATATATCGATTATATTAGAAAACTATTTCTACTTAAGGAAGGTTATTATTAATATTATATGGAACCATTAACTTCGTCGCATAAGTTATCTTTATGGTGAAAAGACTGCAAGCCCAAAAAAAAACACATTTTTATACCCATTGAACCCTTTGAAAATAGGTAAAAAGACAGAAATTATTATTATTTTTTTTTTGTCTCTTAAGACACATTTTATTAATTGTTCTTGTTATTTTCAATTATTTTTTTATTCGAATTATAAATTACAAAGTCATTTAATCTATTTGTGTGTTTTGGCACTCTTTTATTTCTTAATTGGGGAATAGCAATAATAATTAATAATGAGTCATTTAATTGAATGAAATTATTTATGTAAATATTTGCATAGACTTAAAAATACAGATCATCTACCGAGTCAACCTCAGTACACAACATGCACACATACATACATATGTATATATTTGGGCTAGGTCACGATCAGTGCTAGAAAACAAACGAAACTCATTTCTGTGCCAGCAGCAAAAGCCAGTGTAGTGAATAGCACAACACATTCAAATATGCTGTTATGTGTGCACATTAACACACACACAAACACAAGTGCTTGCACGGCCCTCATGGAGGCGAAGCTGAGAGTACATTCTATTTTTAGCTTTTTCGCTCTCTCAGCTGTGAGAGCGCGCAACGACACTGATTTCGTGTTTGTTCTCAATTTTCAAATAGTTGCATTTTGTTGTTTTGCTTTGCCTAACTTAGTGTTAATTTTGTCTTTGCTAAATGTACACAGAAGTTCTTACGCTTTGTGCTAGCTGCCCCAAGCTTCTTTAATAACTTTTGTGTGTTAATATTATATTAAACTAGCTACGTCTCATATTTTACGGTTCACAGTTCGAACCAAGATTCGGTCCGTGAAACTCTGCTCAAACCTTTGTTTATAATTTATTTTCAGATTTAGACCTATAATTGCCCATTCTACCGAAAATATCGCCAATCGTAGATGTTTTCATATAGAAATTGTGGGCTAAATATATGATATATACTATCATCTAAGTTAAGATATATCCAGGCAAGTTAATCGGTAATAGAATCAAAATGCATATGCAATACACAAACAATCCTATGTCCACATATATCCAATATTGGCTTAGGTTAATGTCCTTTGAGTGTGCATTCCGACATCCAGTGTTAGAAACGTTGAAGAGTAAGAAACAAATCTTAATTATTAAGATTTATATCCTTTTAAGATTGTTACGTGGATTCGGTTCACTTATGTATTTCAATATTTAACATATCTGCATTCCATTTAACATTTCATCTTTTTTATATTAATCAACCCAAATACTCGAATGTTATGACTTTATCTCGCCAGGATGCCAAAGAATTGCAATCCGCAGTTATTGTTTAGATGCATTTATGCAATTAGGTACGGTAAATGTGTTATAAACAAATATAAGTACATATTTAAAGGCACCATTAATTGAGAGATTTACATTAAAAGCATATAAGTATGTATGTAAAATATGATGTAAATGGACTGGTTCGATTATCTTGGGCTTGGTTTGCATTCCGTTGGGCTTTAGCCCGATAGCACCATGTGCAACAGCCTGCCGATTGTGTAAGGCAGCCGCGTTTAAGCCATTTTGTTAGCCGCTTTGAATTTCCTATTGAATATATAAAAATATTTAAAAATAGAAACAGTTGACCAACTGGAGCATAGCAATATACTTAAGCTGTTTCAGCGCCTGGCTGGTCTCGAAGTCGGCTTTAAGCAATCCAATGCGCACCCAGCGCGGACGCTCGTGAATCACCTTGTGTATGATGAATTTGAGGCCCAGCAGGAGATGCTCAAAGATGACGAACGAGAGATCCGGTATGGAGGGCACCCAGTGTGAGAAGAATTGTCTGTAAAGTGCGTACGATCTGTTTTAATGGGTATTCAAAAAGAACCGCAAGAGAATGCTACTCACTTGACATTCGGCTGGAGGAAGAGCAGGCCGCAGTTGCTCAGCAGCGACATGACGGATAGCAGCTCGAAGGCCAGCTGCCAGGCACCAATATTCTTGGCGCGACGGGCAAACGGACGCTTGAAGATGTTGCACAGCTTGAACATGTCAATGTGCACGGCAAATACATTGTTGATGAGGGCGCCGATAGCGGCGAAGGGCGCAACGGCGGCAAAGAGCACAACATAGCCAAACTGTATGCAAACCTGCAGGTAGTCCTCATAGGTGGAATGATAGGCATCCAGGCCGGACTCATAAAATGCTTGCTCGTAGCGTGGCTTATTGCTGATAGCGCTCAATTTCTCCGGCTGCACCTCCTTGTGGCGATACTTGGCGTATTTCTGGCGCAGCACGGCCATCAGTGGTATGCCGATTTCCTGTGCTATGCACAGCAGCTGGAAGATGAGCAGCTGCATCATCAGCTGGTACTTGAGTTGCTTGAGATCCTGCAGCACGAACGCAATATAAAACTGTGAAAAGAAATTGTTAACAATCTCGAAAAGCATCAGCTTGTTCACCCGATGCCGTTCGTACTGCGAACGTGTGCGGTGATTCTCCAAATTGGTTAGGAATGTGGCGAGCTTCTCGTATGCCCACGAAAAGATCGCAATTAGCACGGACTGCACGATGACAGGGATGTAAAGCAGCCACGAGTCTGCACCGAAATCGGCCAGCACCTCGGCCTCGATCTGGAACTGATAGAGCGCAAACCAGCCGGCAGCCACCACACAGCCAAGCACCACCGGATACGAAATGCAATACATTTGCAGGTACGTGTAGCGCATGGGATAATGCAGAGTCATCTTGCCAGTTATGGGATCCGGCTTCAGTTGCCCCTGGTAAGCGGCGCGCGGTTTATCCAGGCTGCTCATCTCAATGGTGCCCCAGCGATACGAATAACCTGCACATCTACGTTTCCAGAGTTCCAAAAATATCTGGAAATAAAAAGTATTCAAATCCAAGTACCAAACCACGTACAGGCCGTCGGCTTCCCACTTACTGTCGTCCAGACAACATAGAAGCTACAGACCAGCGACAGATTGAGTTCCATAATGCATTGGAGTATGCCAAACAGAGCAGGAAACACCAGCGCCTTCGTATAGAACTCAATGAAGCCAAAGTAAAGTCCAATACTGGAGCCAAAGTAGTTGCGTATATCCTCTATGGGCAACGTGGTGCGCTTGAGATCCAGCTTGAATCGATCCAAATACAGCTGCAAATATAGTTTTTTAAATTTGATCTGCTTATTGAAGGATCGATCAATCGACTTGAACACAGCTGTTCCAACTTTACAGTAGATTGCTTTGAGGGCTTTTGGAACAGCCTTGGCTAGTACATACAATATCATGCAATGGAAACATGTCCTCGATGTAACCTTTCTGTATGTAGGATCTTATGGCCGGCTCCACAACATCTTTAATCAGCACGGGCGTCTCGCAATAGTGCAGTATCTGCTCCTTGGTCATGCCCGGCAACAGAAAGTCGGAGACGCAGCCGTGGTTAAACTTTTGCATGCTGCCCGTGGTTGTCATTTTCTCTAGTTCCGCAGCATCGGCCAGACGCAGCAGCGTATCCAGACTGGCAGACAGATACAAATACTTTTCGGTTTTGCTAAAACATAATGGGAATGATATGAAGAATCGTAATGGGTGCGAGCATATCTAACAGTTTACCTAACAATTTCCAGTGTAGTCTGTATGTCAAACTCCTGGATGATCTTTTCCACATCCTGACAGTGGCGCAGCTTTGCCTTCTCCGTGAATATAATAACTATATATGTCTGCAATATAGACATAAATACGATATATATGCATTTTGTATGAAGGTGTTTATTATTGCCCTTGCTGGGGGCACACAAACTGACCTTGCCAAACGTCTCCGCTTCCTCGTCGTCGGCGACGTCGATGGTGCCATATTGGGAGCGCTGTTTTTGCAGCGCCTCAAGCTTTAAGCTTCGCTGGCGCCGGAAGAGTTGATTTTCAATAATGTTTCTGGTGCGTGGACCTGGAGTATATGGGTTTTATTATTCATATATGTATGCATTCATGTATTTCTCGCAGAGACACGTATATGGATCTCCATAAGCATACATATGTATATCACGGCGCACTACTCACTCTTGGCATCTTCAGACATTATTTATGAGTCGTCGTCGCTGCCTGCTGCCGCAAATGCGAATAACAATGCCAAAATTTTGCCAAAGCGGCGAGTAAGTGTCTCACTTATGTACATATATATGTACACAATGATATACGTATGTGCACACGCATACATGCACACATATGTGGATATCACGTACGGACGGACGGGCGTTGATGTGTGTGCGTGTCTGTATAATTATTAGGTTTGCCCCAATGGCAGCAAAAAAAAATTGTTTAATAACGCCAAAACATTTCAAAACGTGGCCAGTGCCAGAGATCGTGGCTATTTTAACATTTCTCTGGTTATTGCCGGTTTCTGTTGTTGTTCTTTCTTTCGCATTCGCACTCATATGTGCATATGTATGAATTTGCCTATGTGTGTGCACACAACACACATACACAGTTTGTGTTCTTATTTAAGGTAGCACTCAGCCGCCGTGACGTCACAGATCCAAGCCAAACAGCTGATTTAGCGAGTGACTATTGGTCGGGCTTAAGGGACAGTATGCTGTTCAGATTGCATTGAACGCCAGGCACAAGTCCTTAAGCAAAATATAGTATATTTTATTAGAAATAAAAACTGTAATTTGCATTAGTTTTTACAATACTGAGAGCTGTAGTTTAATATAATTCTCTCTTTGGAAAAGGTTTCTGGTAATTCTAGATTTGAATCTAGCGCCAGTTAAAATTGGGATCGAAATGAAGAGAACAATTTTCTTGGATTGGGATGTATTTTAAAAACTCGAATATACAATTTATTTAACAATTCTGCTTATTTATTTAGTATTCAGCACTGTGCAGATATATTTAGCATTTGTTTTTTTTTTTTTTGGTTTTCAATATTTAACAAACATTTTATAAAGAATGGAAACATAATAATTACAAATTACACATAAAAACGCTTCTGACAATTTACAATTTAAACACATAGAGACGACGCAATTAACTACTTCCAAATCACAGTCACATTCGTATCCTTTTCAATATCCTTCTCGATGGTGCACGGAGAAAGTCCAGTCTTGCAGCAAATCTCATCAAAACTAATCAGCCCCGTATACATCTTCTGGCGACCAGATGGCACCGATCCGGTAAATACCGGATATTTCTGTATGCAGCGTATAAACTTGTGCTGCAGCCCGAAGATGACCATTTTACGCTCATCGATGTTGTGATGTTGCGGGCACAGACGCTGACAAATGGCACGGAGCGTGACGCCATGCGTCATGGACGCATAAAACTGAAAGATTCTCTGCACGCTGGGCAGCAATTTATCCGGCTGGAGAGCCACGTACTTGCGACAGGCATTGCTCAACGCTGTGCTCTGTATGAGGTGCTTTAGATTCTGGGTCATATAGACATTGCTGTACTTCAAAATGGGCAGCAGCTGCACAACGCCATAGTAGACCAAATTCTGTATGCAGGACTTCACTAAATCAGTTTCCACATCCGCCTCGGCGGCTATGCGAGCCACATGATTAATGCCATTGATATAGGGCAATATCTGGGAGACAGAGAAACGACGACAGTTCATGTGATTGCATTTTAAGGATAAACTTGCTGTACCTGTTGTGTAGTTAGATCCCAGTTCTCGAGCGGTGTATCGCGCAAATTAGCCAATAATAGGGGCACCATATGGTCCTTGACTGGTGGCGGATCCGGCTTATGCATGACAATTTTCAAATAGATTGTGTTGTCGCCTTCCACAATGGTGGCCACTTTGCGCTCATTCAGATCACGGAGCACTGTCTCAAAGATATTTTGTAGCCGTTGCTTGTCGTCCTCGCGTGACAAAAAGCATGACTCCTCCTCCATCATAATCAGATATTCCGACAGCTTCTTTACCACCGGCTCATATTGCACGGAACGGGCACGGGAATCACACACAAAGCACAGATTAAAGAGAAATGCATTGCGAGCATACTTCTGCTGGTCCTGTATGCCGACTGGGTAACCAACGATTTTAACGTCCATCGCATTCACCGTTAGAATGCAGCGTTGCAAGTGCTGCTTGGGTATAATGTACACGTTGATGGCATCGAAGACCTCTTTTGAGATATAATTTTCTGGCACCTAAAAACGCAACACTTGCTTATTGATTGACCGCCTAGATAGACCCGCGCCCAGCCTACCTGACAGCTGATTTTGCAGCCCGCCGTGGCGTGGAATTCGCTTAGAAAAATGCAGCGTATTTTGCCTTCTGTGCTGCCGCCGGTTATGCCGGGGCCGCCTTCCTTTGTGTGGGAGTGCATACTTATCTGTTGCACCTGCCGCAATCACCGCATTTCATAGACCTCGAATAAGCTTCGTATTGTGGTTGAATAAATGGCCAATCCGCAATATGTTTCCATTCGCGATTGAGCTGACCAGGGTTTTAACGAAGCATATGCGCAGATACTTTTACTCTCTCGCTCTCTCTCTCTCTCTGTCTCTCTCGCTGCGCAACACGTCACAACTTTAGGCATTTATATTCGAGATGAGTGTGTTGCATAGGTATTAAGCCTTCTTGGTATCTTTGCTGAGCTGATGTTGACATTGTGCCTGCAGGCACTTTTTCTGAATTCACTTAGGCCATCAAGTTTCTACATAACAATATTCCTGCTTAGTTAAAATACCGTGGAACTGTGACGCAATTATTTTTCGTTTCACTCCCACAAAACAGTTCACGATCATTCAGAAACTCAGTTATGAACCAGTTCGATCAAGTAGATCTTTTAATGTTGAACTACTCTTTCTCGAAGGTTAATTGTTTCATTGGATGACTTTTTCTATTCGCAATCAAAATATCGAATGCACAATTCATGAAAATTTCGTAGATTAGCTTCAAACACAATTATCCAACTATAACGGCCGCGAGCCGCGGCTGCCAATAAGAAACAATAAGGTGGCTAGGGGTTACGGACTGAGGCGCCAACTTTACCGAAAATATGCTTTTAGTGTAGTCACTTTTTAATAGAACATCCACTTGCACCCTCTCGGAAAATTGGCAAGCAAAATCAAATAATTTTTCGTAACATTTACCCATTGTTGTTCTATCAATTATATTACTAGCAACAAAGTAGAGTTAGCAGTCCGGCAACGCCTTGCTTCAACTGAGTAGTGTTGTAAAGCGCAAGATCCGATTGCCGGCTGATGGTATCGACACATTGATTGCTCGATATTCATACTTTCGTCTTTTCTGTGCAAAATTATTTCGCCCAGCTTGTTTTGCACAATTTAATTGTCAATTAATTCGTAGCAATGACAAACGAAAGCACAAATGTCGCTGAGCGGCTCAAGTTGGGTCCGCGTGAAAATGTCACTTATCCCATAGTCATGAAATATTGCGGACACTGCACCATGCCAATAGAGGTAAAAGAATTTCGCATATTTTGTACGGTGCATTTGTGGTTTAACAAATTGTTTTCAGTACTGTGAATACTATCCGGAGTACGATAAATGCAAGGACTGGCTGGAACGCAATCTGCCCGATGATTTCGAGCGTCTTAAAATAGAGGAAGAGCAGGCTGCGGCAGATGGCACAGATGACGACAAGAAGCGTCAGAAGCGTGGCGGCAAGGGGCTGCTGCGTGTCAAAAAGAAGGAGGATGTCCCCAAACGCATATGTGTATCACGTGCTGCCCGCGGCAAGAAGAAGTCTGTAACAGTGGTTACCGGACTGAGCACCTTTGGTAGGTGTTATTCCCGCAACTTGAAATGGATCCACTCATGATTTTGTTCACCCGCCTACAGATATTGATCTCAAAGTGGCTGCCAAGTTTTTTGGAACGAAGTTCGCTTGCGGATCATCAGTAACTGGCGATGATGAAATTGTCATACAGGGCGATGTAAAGGATGACTTATTTGATGTCATTCCCGATAAATGGGCCGAAATTGATGAAGACGTCATCGAGGATTTGGGCGATCAGAAGCGTTAATCTAAAATCATAGAACCAATAGCCATTTTCGTCCTGTTTAAGAAATGTGCTTATTTTATACGCAAGTTACATCAAATATAAAAAGATTTAAACTCTAGTTATCCCTGCGCCTGGCTGGGTTGCAACTGATCCGCGCCAGAGTTATAGAAATGTTTGTGCGTTAGCTCAATTATGGCCTCGTTCTCCTCGTCGGTAAGTGGGATTTTATTGTCATCAATGAGCTGTAGCAATCAATATATTTAATAGTAACAAGCACACTCGACGAATTCAATTGCGCTCACCAGTTGCGTATGCAGTGCACTAGTAGGCGGATCATTAACCATTTGCAGCATCTCGTGGGGCATCAGCCTGTAGGCGGCCAAGTCGCACAAGTAGCTATTAATGGACTCGCGTGTTTGCGTCTTACAAGGCGATTCCTCCAGGAACTGTAGGGCCTGTGTGAATAATACTTATTGTTTAGTTATAATGCCAGTTTTGACATTCTGCTCGACCTGTTATACCTCGTAGGTGACCGTAGCCAGGTTGCGCATTCCAAACTTCTTTTTGGTGCCCTTAATCTGTTGTAGTAGGTGCATTACCTCTAGATTTGTGACGTACGCATAAGTGGCATTTACGCTGTCAAGAATTAAGTATGTTAATGCAATTTGCTCGGCATTGAACGCTTCACTTACGTTTCCATTGTGCTTTATTATTATTTAGCCTTAAATAATTTGTAAACATACTACAGCCAACTGCAAGTAGCATCGATAAGAAGTGGTATCGATAGCTGAGTACAAGTACTTGGCGCGAACAACCGATTCCATTAATATTACTGTACAATAGAAAAATGAGAAAAACTCTTAAAAACTGGCTGGACGATTTTCTTGATGTAAAAGAGCAAAATTACCGATAATTCCTGCATTTGGGGCCATTATCGGAGAAATTTAAATAATAAAGGTTGAAATATTGCCGCCATTTTTGATGAATAAATATTGCCAGATAGTTTTAACTTCTTCTAACTTGACGCACTTAGTATAAATATCTTATATGTTTCACAGCTTTGAACATGCTTATGCCAAACGAAAAGGTAAGTGCTATGACAATCAATCGATAAATAAAATATTTTTCTTATAAGCATATAAGAAAGCTTAGTATATATTTATATTAGAGCTCATATATGCAATATGCCACAAAATAAATGAACAAATAAGTTGTATATTATATTTGCTTCTACTAGGTAAAGTCACTAACCAAACAACATATGTTGTTTAGTTAGTGGTAAGGTGCATATTGTCATGCATTTATACTCGATAGTTTCTTCATACTCAAGTGCACCTATCGCATCTATGCTTTCCCTAAACAGTTAAAAGCGCGAAAATACAAAGTGTGCAACAACAATAATCTTTGTAAGCATAACGTACAAGGGGAAAATGAACAATATTAGTAACTGGTTTTGCTGCATATCAGCATACCTTTAATTCAATAATACCTACGAAACGTACAAGAATAAACATGTTCCATTGTATATGCATAAAAATACAACAGCCAAGTGCTTTAGGTGCTTAATGCACCGCATTATAGTTGCCACTATCGTGCTCGCAGACATTGTTGCGTTCAATTTTGTTGCGCCGGCGAAATTTGACGATCAACACCTCAATGATCCAAGGCACAGCGCACAGGGCCATGAATACGTTCAGTATATGGAATACCAACAAATAATCCTGCGTGCAGTCTCGTATATAGCCAACGATTGGCCCAATTATAAACATGGCATTGCCCTGTGTGAACATGAACAGGCCATAGCCGCTGGCAAAGCTGTAACGAAAAAGGTGAAGAGTAAACAAACAAAACATGTTATAATCCACCCGGACGTGTGGTTTTGATTTCACGACAACGCACCGTTCCTTTGGCAAGTAATCGGCAAACACCAACGGCAGCGGCACATGTATCCAAGTGCGTAAAAAGCCGAGCACAGCCGTGATGCAGGCCATGCCCACAAAATTGGTGATGCCATTGAGAGCTGCAACAATATGTAAATTGATAAATATACTCATGATCTCCCAATGCTATTCATATATTGCACACCGATTCGAGCGAAAATTGTAAAGAGCGCGCCAGCCAAGTAAATGTAACGAGCGGGAACTTGAATGAAAATCGCAGTTATTGCCAGAAAAATACGCGACAGCAAATCCGCAGCGGCTCCAATAGCTATCACATTTGCCGTGTCGGCCTGAAAAGGAACAAAACAAAATACATACATACGTAAGATATTATGAGTAACAAGTGAAACGTAACGCAACTCTAACAGCATTTATTCAAACTGTCGCATTCCTCATAAAGCACACACACACACACAGACGCACGTCTGCGCCTGTGGCTAGCGGTTTTTGTAGCTTCAGTCTGTTGCGTCTGCGTGCGAATGAGACAAAGCGAGAAGCTCCTTCTAAATAACCGACAAATTCCGAATTTTGGCTAGGTAACCGAGGTTTCTTCACGGCCAGACAAGACAATTGTCTTCAGTTGGTCTTTGGACAGCGTCTAGGAGTCTAGACTTTCAAGTGGTTTTTTTTTCCTGTGCTTTTTTTTTTTTTTTTTTTTTTAGTGAAGTGTCCCATTTTACACAAAGAAGAGAACTCTGATGGCGACATGTAAGTACATATATAAATATGCATGTATACATATTATGTACATATGTGTGTACATAGGCATGTGTGCGCACTTACATTTACTTACACAATACTTAAGTTTGCATAGAAAGCTGTTGACATATTATTTATTTATTTCTTAAACGAAAATCGTAGAGCATGCGCCAAGTCAAATTTTTGGTCTGCGCTAGGGTGGGTGCAGTGAGAATGCGGCAGCCACGTGCGCCCAGAAAGATCTTAACTGCAAATACATACACAAAAACACATACATACATACATACACTTTGGGCTTCAAGAACAAGAATACGGTTGAGTTACATGCACATATAGAAATATTCTCGAGAGACATGCGCATGTATAAGTGTGTAAGGAGCGTGCGCGCAAGCATTTTGCAAAATTAAGGGCTGCGCATGAGAATGAAAGAGAACGCGCAGCTACGTGGAGTCAGACAAATTCAAAATGGTGGAGCGCAAGCGCACACTTGGCATGCACACACACACGCACATACGTACATAAGAATGGAATCTACATTTGTGCATGTATATGTGTATATTCATGCATGCATATAAGGGAACTTTTTTGTGTAAGGAAAACTGAAGTTGGTGACAAAAGAGAATTGAAAAAAAAGGGATTTGATTCAAAATGGCGGACAGCAAGCATCAAATTTGCATCAGGGTTCTATTGCTGCAGCAAATGAACAGCTTTCAATAAACAAAGTCTATTTTAGACAACTTTTCTTTTAAATCTGTGCAGAATATATTAGAAAATAAGTTTTCACCTCTATGTATGCATGTATATATGTATATTAGAACATTCTCGATGTGTATGCATGTGTGTGTGTGTGTATGCGGTGCAATGGCGGACCGCAAACACGTGTGAAAGTTGTTTGACATTGAGGGGAATATTTCGAAACGCTGAAATAAAGTGAATTAAATCTAATTGAAGGTTAATTAAGCTGCACGAGAACATTCTTGACTGTATAAGGATATGTGAAGTTTGTGAGAAAAGGAACTTGATCCAAGATGGCGACAGGCAAGCACAAAAGTGACTCGTGGGGAAAACGAATTTTGTAAAGAAAAATCTATTTAATAAGAAGTTTCAGTTAAAGTATATAAGAAAATTCTCGACGTGTATGCATGTTTGTATAAATGAATATCAAAATGGCGTTCGACAGGCTAAAAAGTGCACCCAAAAATGCAATGGAGTTGTTTTAAAAGACAACAAATATTTTATAATAAATAATGTGAAGTAAAGTGAGCTAAAGAAATGTGGTTTTTGCCTAATAAGAACATATATTGAAGGCAAAATGTGAACTAACTTTAACGGTGCTTTTGATTCAAAATGGTGAGCAACATTAAAAAAAAATGTTGCGTCTTCGGTAAACAGGAAGAGGCAAACGCAACGCATTATCAAGTCCTTTAATAAAGAAACCAAATAGAAGCGTTTTTTGTGTGTGATTAAAAGGGTTCTTAGTTAAAAAAAAACCAAATTAAATAAAGAAAACGTTTTGAGGTTAATTAATTCCATACAAAAAAGTTGTCGCTGTTAGCAAAGAATATGTGAGGATGGGGATAAAGGGGAAGTTTCAAGAGAAACTTTTCAAAGTAAAAAGAAAAGAATCTAACGAATAACTAAAACTTTTCAAAATAAGCTACGACTAAAAGTGAGTTTAATAGTTACAACTTTTTGTTGTTGAATAAATGAGAATATTTAATGAAAGAAACTAGGGTTATCAATATAATAAAGATTTCTTGATGGGTGTGTTTATAAAAAAAAAGAGAACGTTTTGATTTGGAAAAAAAAAAAAAATAATAATAATAATAGTTAAGCTAGCAATCAAATAAACACATGCTTTAATTCACGCGCAAACCTTAAGGAACAGCTTTAAGTTAAATATGATGTGAGCTTAATTCAAGTATAAAAGAAAGAGAGAATACAAGAGTTTACGATGCGTACGGATTAGTAAGTCTGCTTTGCAAAGCGTGTAGACAAATGACTAAGAAGTGCTTTCATAAACGTCTTTTTAGATACGCTTTCGCAGATATCGCAGATATTTTGAGACAACAAAGATGCTCGCAATTATCAAGTTTGGTCGAGATATCGCGAACTAAACAAAACGAGGTATTCATAGAACAACTTTAACATTGAAGGCGTATTTCAATATTGAATATTATGTTAACTTTCTAATGTTCAGTTTTGAAACTTTTATAGAGTATATTTTTATAGCTGAGCTATTCAAATTGATGCGACTCACCTTGGTGTAACCCAGTTCGAAGAGATATGAGGGCTGCATGGTGAAGAATGAGATGTCCGAGTATAAGGCGAATGTGATGCCGAGAACAATGTTTACGTAGATGGGTTTCTTGAGAAGCGTTAGGTCGAGAAAATCGACTATGGTGCCGCAGCAGGTGCGCGTCTCGCCAGGAACGTTGTCGTCGTTGTCGTTGTCGTCCTCATTGGCAACACCAGCTGCGGATGCGGATCGGCAGGGTGAGGCGCCACTGATGACCGATTGGCGTCGCGACGCCTGAAGGCTGTGCATCATTTGGGGCGAGGCATCGCTGACCACCATCGGGCCAGACCAGTTGCCCAGGCTGGTGATGCTGGAGGCGCGACTGGAGATGATCCTTAGCGTATGGTCGTCAGCGTGCGACACGCGACGTGAGCCCAAATTTGATACGGGCATGGATGCAACTTTTGCTGCTGGTCCAAAATCCAGTTCGGGTATGGGATTTAATGGCGTCTCTGGTTGGACATGCACAACGACTGTCGGCTGTACTGGCTGCAGTTGCTCGGCTTCCGGCTCCTTCTCCTCCTTCAGGGGCACGCGTCGCATATGCCACTCAACGGGATGCATGAGCAGCATGCCGAGCACCGCGTTCGCATTGATGGCCGTGAGAACCAGGAGACAGCCACGAAAGCCATACCACTGCAAGAGCTTCTGCATCAAAATGGGATATACCATCGAGCCGAGGCCAATTAGCGTCTGGGCGAAACTCATCCACATGACACGATTCTTAACAAAGTAATTATTAAACGACGTATAGCTGGTGGGCACAATCAATCCAAATCCTGTGCCCTGAAATAGGCTGAAAGCCAGCGTCAGCTGCAGCGTGGAATTGGCAAAAAACTGCATGCCCGTGCCCAGAAAATAAAGTATGCCACCGACAAGACCCACCGGACGCATGCCGAAGCGGCGGAACAGCGAACCGGAGAACAGGCCGGCAAAGCTCATGGCGCAAAAGAAGGTGCTGGTGATGATGGCAATCGCGCTCGTCTCAGCGCCGATGCCCTTCAGGAAATCGCCAAAGATCAGGCCAAACGAGGGCAGCGCTGCCAGCGCGCTAATCTGTAAGTTATGCCACGGGCATGGTTTAGTTATGTGTAAATTCTAATTATTTATCTGCAGCTTGCACTTACAAACGGCAAGGCCATGCCAATGCAGACCAGTATGCCCCAGCCGCCGTCGGGCGCCTCCAATCGATAGGCTTTGGCTTTGGGCCGTGTTGCTGCCGCGGTTGGCACTGTCATCTTTGCTGCTCGAAAGTTGTGCGGTAAGTGAAGTGCATGTTGCTCTGGTACGGGCTAGAAGCATCTTCATCCTAATCATTATCATCATCATCATCATCATCGAGAGCTTGGCCATTATTCATCAGTATCTTGCCGCTGACAGTAGCAATTCGCTTTTATTGTGATCCTTATTTAAGCCCTAAGAACATGCCCGATTAGATAAATCAAAAAATTATATAGCTGCGACCAAAGGCTTGCTGCAAACTTCCGTGCCAAGCCCCAATTTACATAGCAAAAAGGCTTCCCGCCTTTATTTATAATCAGTTTCGTGGTTTTTATTGTCTAATTGCAAAGCATGTCTAATGCAGACCCCCAATTGTTGGCAGCAACAACCAGTCAACAGCTTGTTATTTGAACTATTTCTAATTTTTTTTTTTATTTTTTATCAGACTCCGGCTCCCAGATAAGAGCCCGTCTCTGAAATCCCCGTGAGATTTATTGCAAAAGCGCCTCGGTTCTGTCCTCTAGCGTTTGCATAGAAACTGTCGACGCTCGCCGCATAATTTATACCAATTTAAATTTATTCTTCACGCATTATTCAACATTTATTTGTTTATTTTCCTCGCCAATTTTATGAGCACAGCCAAAAGCTCTTCATGTAAGCACAATTACACATCTGACAACAAATGACTGTGTTACAATGATTATCATCATTGCGATATAGAAAGAGACAGTTGTTGCTCGCCGTCAAGTTTGTTTCTCATAAATACTCAGAGTTCTTATCTTTTCACACATGGCCTCAAATATGCAGTAGGCTGCGTTTTGGGCTTTGCTATGTTATAGAGGAAACTATGTTATAGAGGAAACTCGGTCGATTTTTGTGTCAACTGTGTTCAGGCATATCTGCATTTAAATCCCTGAACGAATCGCATTTTCATTACAAAATTAAACCCCAACAGACTTGAGGCTTGACTCCATCCTAGGCATAGAATATTGCAGCTATGTTGGGCAGACAAGTTAAGCTTGAGAAAACAGAAATGTTTTCCAAACTCTTTTTATAACCCATGCATCCCATAGAGTTATATTTTATGGTAACAATATAATGTAGTGTATTAGTAACAAAAGAACATGTAAGATATAACTTTGAAGATTTACCAACAATATTGTCGGTTAGCCATATATGAGATATAAACGTAAAAAGGGAAAACTGACGGACGTAGCTTTATCGGATCGGACCTTTATATTACGAATCACAATTATATATGTACACGTGCATTCCTTATAGGGTTACACATATCAGGAAGCTAACTAAGATAACAAAAACAAGGGCAGGCTATTATGAATCTAATCTAGCTTCCATTTAACTGGGCTTAAAGCTGACACATTTTGCAACGTATAATTTGCCAGCGATAATTAAATATACTTTTTTATATCACTTTATTTCAAATTAATAATATATCATATATATGTATAAGGCTACAATATCGTCAATGCATATCCAAAAGATAACATTGTTTGTATCTAAATATAATTATATAACTACACATTTGTATATAGTAGTATGTATATATATCATATATCTTACATATATATATATATATATGCATATAAAGTAAACAATCGGGCTTTATATTTTCCTTTTGCACAGTTAAGTACATACTGTCTGCGTATATCTTAAAGATTTAGTCATCAGAGTCTTACGACTAATTCTGCCTGTGTCCTGTGTGGGTGTCCGTGTCTGTGTGTGTGGGTGGGTGGAGGGTGTGGGTTGCATGCAGTACAGTAGCCATTCTTTAAGCCCCACTCTTAACAGTATGCTACAAGATTTTGCTTTTTGGTTCTGGCATCTATGTGAATACCCAGCAAATGTTATTGCTTTCTGTTTTTGTCAATTTTTGCATTTACATATCTTACAATAAGGCATTTATTTTTCCTCCAAGTCCTGACAAGCGCTCGCAAATATTAAAAAAAAAACCTACTCAAAACTAACGAGCAGCTTATAGATATATAGTTGTATACATACATACATGTATAGATGTGTATATATATATATTGAATGCATATCTCTGGGGTTGATATTTTGTTGCTCGCTTCTGGTGGGTTGATATTGTTCTTTCTATATATATATATATATATATATATATATATATATATATATATATATATATATACATATTGCTAACCCTCTTCACAGCACTCGCCATCTCTGTCTCTATCGCGCGCGCTCTCCTTCCCCCTCTTTCGCTATTTTTGTCTCTGTCTCTTGGCAAAAATTAGTTATATATTTCTTGGCTACCTTCAGCACTGTGCCTTATTTGCGACAAATCTGTCTATATATATATATATAAATCATTCTTAAACATAACTTCATTTAGTTGTCTAACTTTACTTAACTTGGCTTCAGCTTTATATATATATATATATATTTATAATGGTTTTTATGGGCATATATTAGGCATATAAACTGTTAAACTGATAAATCAGCTCTACTTTAGTTATATAACGTTTTATATCTGTATATATATAGTTAGTTGGTGTTGGGCTCTTGTTTTTTGCTCGTGTTTAACTTCGCTTTAAAGGTACAAGTATCGATTTTAAAGCCAGTTTTGTTGTTTGTTGCTTTTATGCCTTTTTTTGATCAGTATAAGTTTACATATGTACTTTTGTAAATCTTCATGTTAAGAACTAACTTATAAACTATCTTTGAACTATCACATACAAGTTCATACAATAATCAAAAAAAAAAAAAAGGAAAATAATATTAAGCATATATCATATGAAACGTTACGTTAATCGATCTTAATTAGAGCATATTACATATATGTATATTAGACTGGCAAATGAGAATTTAAATACAATTAGAGGAGAGGGTTACACAGTGCAAAGGCTTTATATAAGTTTTTGGGCGCTATTCACGAATGAAAGTTATAAAGAATATGCTTCTTTTTCCAAACTGAAACTCTTTACTGGGCAGATGTTAACTCGTGCTTTATAATTCCTAGCGGCAAATAACCCACAGCAAACATACGTATATATATATGTGTATATATATATCTATTCATAAAACTAATTAAGTATTAAGTAGTATGCATTTAGTTTCAGTGTATGAGTTTAAATTAATGCATCTCTATTAATTCTCTCTTGATCTTTGGCCTTCATATTACAGCTTGACATCCTGAGCGGCTGGCGCTGTTGTTGTTGGGGCGGCTGCGGCTGCTCCTGTTCCACCATCCTGTGTGGGCAATTGTGCCGCATCGGCGGTGCGACGACGTGACTGAATGAACTCCACCAGATACTCAATTCCCCAGGCCAGAGCGCATATCATGATGCAAACGCTCTGCGTGTGTATGCAAATGGGATAGCTGTTGGTCAAATCGCGAATAAGACCTAGAAAAGCAAATTAGCGGATTAGAGAGAGAGAGAGAGAGAGAGAGAGAGAGAGAGAGGGAGAGAGACGCAAATCTAACCAAATCTTATTACTTACCAATCAAGGGTCCAAAGCTGATGACGAACAGCGCCTTGCCGACCAGATGCCAGCCAAAGGCCGAGGGCAGCTTCTCCAGCGAACAGTACTCGGAAACGGTCAGCGTAAAGTTACTCAAAGCTGAGCCACGGAAGAAGCCGCAAATGGATAGCCAGAGCATCAGTTGAGTCCATTCCGTTTGCTCGGCCATGACTACAAAGAGCATTGAGATATTTTTAGATACAAAGAGATACATGTCACAGCACAATAACGCAACTTACTGGAACGCGTGAGTGCCACAAAGATAATGGAGACCAGGAATATGGTGCGCTTCTTGATCGTCGTCCTGTCAAAGAGCGGAGGCAGCACAATACGCGCCGCAATATCCGTAATGGCTGTTATCGATAGACAGTAGGCGACGTCCGCCTTGGAGTAGCCCAAATTGGCAAAGAAGAAGGGCGTCACCATCTTGAAGTTCATCTCGGCCACATAGAAAATGGACAGACCGAACAGCAGATTGAGAAACATTTTGTCCTTGAGCATGGCAATGTCCAGTAGATCGGCAAATCGACGCCAGAAGCCGGGCTTCTTTACATTCTTCTTGGCCTCCTCATCGGCCAGCTCCGTTTGCTGCTTCTCCAGCTCGGTGGGCTTCATTTTGATGAAGCTATCCCGATGGCCGCCCAAAATGCTGCCCGTGGCGGTGCCCACGCGTCGCAATTCACGATCATTTTGCTCGAACTCATCGTCGCCGGTGTTCAGATGCACTTGGAGTATGGAGCCGGTGAAATCCATGTAGGACAGATTCGAGGTGACCGATGCCTTGCGGCAGCGCAACTGCGTTGTATTTACCTCGGCCTGTGAGGGATAACCACCGCTGCCGCTGCCCACATCCGCGGACTGGACACCCGCCAGGGACATGATGCGCGGAAACGTTGGCCGCTTGGTCAGACCCAGCCTGGAGCCGTTCATAGTGTTCATTGCCATTTCGGAGTAGTTTTTGCGTATGGATGGATGATTGTGCTGGTGGTGATGCTTGTTGAATAGAAGCGTATTCAGCTCCGGCAGCGCATCCTCCTCATTGCCATCCTCTTTGATCACATTGAACGTGGGCGCCGGATTTGCTGCTGCGCCAGTGCCTGCCGTCAGCTGCGGCTGCGGTGTTGGCAGCGCCGATATACACATCAGTTCCTCGTCATCAAACTCCTCCTTCATGTGCCATTTGATGGGCTGCAACAGCACCGAGCCAACGGTCGCATTCAGCGCAACGCCGGACAGCAATAGGACAGCGCCCCGAAAGCCATAACCCTCCAGCAGGATGCGCACAAGCTGCGGCATTATCAGCATACCCATCGCTGTGCCCGCCATGGACAGGCCCACCGCCTGGCCGCGCTTGTGTTTGAAGTAATGATTCAGGGCCACAAATGCCGCCGACGTGGACAGCCCGACGCCAATGCCATTGATCACACTGTACGTGCTGAGTATGTGCGCCATGGTGGTGGCCGGCGACGTTAGCGCGAGGCCCAGTCCGCAGAGCAGCGAGCCGGCAATGGCCACCTTACGGTAGGAGAACTCCTTCAGCAGCGGACCCACAAACAAGCCCGAGAAGTTCATGCACACATCCATTGTGCTGATGATAATCGCTGCCCCGGTGGTGCCCACATCCAGATCTCGCAACGTGTCCCCAAACAGCAGCCCAAACGATGGCTCAATCGAGCGGGTGGCCAGCTGCAAATGACAGTGAGAAGGTAAGCATCAGATTAAATATTCAAATAATTATCTATACAATTAGCTAATTGGGAGATAACACGGCTTTACAGCTAAGTAGCACTACGAGAAACCTTTCAACTGATTCTAATGCATTAGGGTCTTAAATAGTAATAATAATAATAATAATAATAATAACAAAAGGCTGTACTTGACTCTTTAATGCAAAAATCGTTATCTATTGTTTGTCGACGGTTCCGGTCCGACTTTGATTAACAATTGAACAATAAAATCAGACTAAATGATTGACTGAATGACTGATTGGTGATCAACTTTTTGTCGCGGAATTATGTCGTCTCAAGGCGAAATAGCTGCGCCGACCAACCGCCGACCAACTATCCTAGTTGATCTTAGCGAGATGTCGTTTTGAAGGGACATAACTTCGCCGCCCCTTTAAAATTGCGAATCTTTTTTGTAATACCCTATAATGTTGCTTCGTTTTTCAACCCTCTTTTATTTCCAGCACGACACTAAAGTGGTCGGAACACGTTTGTTCCAACATTGGTTCTATATTTGATACACATTTTCAAATAACTATGTAAAATAGAAAGTTACACATATGAGGTCATGATAGATGGATGGATGTCAAAAATTTGAAGCAGCAACTCGGACTGGACAAGGCGGCTGCCATTAGGTTGTGATTTTCGAAAAATCCATCCGTAAGTGTGGACAATTTTGTGGATAAAGGTTGTGTGAAACTTCTTTGTTATTTCGAAAGTTTTTTGTGATTTTCAGGTGGGTGGAAAATGGGTGGAAAAGTAATCGGAGCCTGGCAAAACCGGGCAATATACATTATATATATGCATATATATTGGAGCATTTTGTAATCCCATGAAGATAACATCACACTTAGGCTGAGGTAAATAAAATATCTAATCTATAATTGCCTGTAATTATAACTTCTAATAATTGTCTCTTGTATTTTAGGATGCGTGAATGCAAGCTCAACTGTTCCTAGGACAACAATAATGTTGCTTATCGCAACAACAGAAGTATACATATATTTATATACATATATATATGTATATGTGAAAACCTTATCTGTGAGTTACAGAGTGGTAATAACTAACTAACTTTATGGAGGTGGATTGAAACAGGAAGCTATACCGTTCGACGCGATCCTAAATTTTATGACCTTAGCCCGGTTTTTATATTGAGCAATTTGTTGGCTAATCGGATGTTCGACGGCCGCGTGATTTATCGGCCAAATAGCAAAACAACATGCCAAACAAATCATAATCAGCAAAAAAAAAAAAGAAAAAAGAAAAAAGAGAAAACACAACAAAAATGGGCGGGCAACGTCATCATATTCCAACTTATTATCGTCAGCAGAGTCGATAAGGTCGGGTAAGTAGACAGCCCCTACTTATGTACATATGCAGGTAGCAATATAGAGTATATATATATATATATATGTATATAACTATATATTTAGTCTAGTATCAATGCACTTGAAGTTGTGACAATTCGTCAATCCCTCAATTCGTTGGCCTTCATTTTATCATGCAACAGGCTGCTGATTTGCTTGTCCCCAAATAAAAGTGTGGGCTCGAGGGCAATGTTGACTCTGCGAGACCTTCTTCCCCCGCGCGGCTGATTCATTTGTATTCAGAGCTTTATAAAGTTATCCATGTGGCTTTTAACATTGAAACTCTCGACTATTTTGAATAGTTAACTACATTTTGTGAAAATAATAGAATGCATATGAATAGTAAAATAGATATTGCATATTGATATAATAATGGTTGATGTACATATATAAATAAATATGTCTAACAATTCTTAACTCAAATTGAAAGCAAATTATACGAAAACTATGCCCTATTTTAATATATTATTGATCTTTTAACTGCATACAGTTCGTTTGCATACAGCTTTTGGCACTGGCTCCCGTTCTCAGCTATGTAGAATTGATTTCCACTCTTATTTCACTTGCGCTTTCACCTTTCTATGCGAGCTATTTTCTATTTTCTACGTGAGCTAAGCTTCCGATCGTTTGCTGTACTCTGCCAGCTGTGTTACCCGGTTAAAATGATTAATTTATTGGGTTCTTGTTTCTAACATTCTGATTGTGGCTTATAACCTTAAACAGGTACTCGAATGGTTGGGTTTTTATTGTGTTTATTGATGATGATTCGTGAAGTGCTTTATTTGTGCCTTTGCAACGATTATTATTGATTGTGCTGTTATTGATTTTCGTGTACGCGTGTGTATCGCTTTTCATTTCACTCAAGCAATAATCTCCCTGGCCCCCACATGCCTGTTTGGCACCGTGGCGAGAAAAGAGTTGGTGCTAGATGTTTATGGGCGTTTCATTCAAAACGTTAATTGCTTGATAATTGAATTATCACCAATCATAATTGAAACTAGCAAAGCAACACGCGCACAGGTAATGCCAGAACAACAAAACACGCTCCTTAAATAGCTCACTCCACGAAACTCTAGACTAGTTTTTTGTTGCCTAGCCATCGACAGTTGTTTCTCGGGGTGTTGCTATAATTATAATTGGGCGCACTTTGATTTTGTCAACTCGCATGTGATCGAGACATGGCACAAGTTGTTTCGCACCCACTGTTTGTTATCTGGGCACACATACATATACATACATATACAAATATAGACATGCAACATTTGTGATGTAACAATTTTTAGTTAATATCTTAGGCAGTTTTACTTTACATAATCCGAATCATATGATTTATTTGAAAAGATTTACATTGCAATTCGTATATTCGATCGTTTTTCCCAACATTGATCTATTCTATTCGCACATTGTGATTTTCCATCTCCTCCTCCTCGTTCCACCTACCATTGTAATGTGAAAATATGAATTTTGATTAGGCGAAATTCGGTTTTATTTGTTTTTGGCATTTGTCGATGCAGGCGGGCTTTTAGCGCAAAACAGCAAAAGTCAAACAAAAACATGAAAAACCAACTCGTTAATCGGTGTGTTTGACGGTGACTGCGACTGTGACTGGTTTATTGGCGCCCCCCCCCCCCACCTCTCTCCACCCACCCTTCCCTCTAGCGCACCCTTAAACGAATCGAGAATTCGTGTGCCTCAAATGCTTTAAATCAGCTTTTGATTTATATTTATTTGCCCATCACACGGGCCAAAGCTAGGTGTCGAAAGGGCTGCCACTGGGCAAGTGTGTGTGTGTGTGTGAATTTTGCACTAGACATTTTATTATTTTTAAACATGTGTGCAATATTTTCCAATCTAATTTACAAGTAGTCGCTGTGACGACCACTTGCGTGAAATTAACGTGATGTTCGGATGTTCGCAAGCGTTACTTTAAATTAAGACCCTATTTACATATATATAGTATATATATATATATATATTTGCATGGGGGCAATATTACTTGTCGTTTAATGTGTGTGAATTGTTGTTGGCCCATTTCAAGTTAATTATGTATATAAGCACATATATAAACAGGGAAGAACGCTTGCGGCACACCGAATATAAAATGCTCTTGCACAAATATGGCTTGACCAAAAGCAAACGATATAGAGGAGCCTGGGAACCATGTGATATACTGTTTTCTATATGTTATTGGCTTTAATACAAAATTTGAAATACATTTGGTTCTATTTTTCTATCACACAATATATTAGTCCGATATTGATAAGATTTTTCGAAGCTGTCATTTGTATCTATATACATTTTTTTCCATCTTAGTTGAATATCGTGTACATCAGAGATCTGCTAATTTGTGGAATCTTCAATATTCTTACTTGAATTGCGTTTAGTATTAGCTTTTTCGCATGCCTACCTACTACTTTTGGTGGCTAATCGACTTTTGGGTGATTCCCTTAAAGTATTCCCTGAAATTGCTTCGGATTTGTTCTTTTTGTTTCTATATGCCTTATGCAATAATATACGTATAAAGTAAATATATTACCGTGTTTTTGCTAGCGCTCGTCGCTGCAGCTGTAATTGACATGTGTCTTCATTGTGAGTATTTAGCAGAACAGATTATGGAAATCAGAAATTGTACAATTAATAATGGGCCATTAATTACACTAGTCAACGAAGAAAACTGGCAAATATATTGATCTCAAATGCAAGTCGATAACAAATCAGCTGTTCCCAACAGCAGTTGGTCTCTCTGGCCAAAGCAAAAAGAAAACAAACAGCTGCTAGGCTGCATTTAAGGATCAGTTTTAGCAACAGTTAGGATTTTTTTCTGATAGCCCTAATAGTATCTCGTAGGATTCATAGATCGTATGCTATATTCAGGGAGATTTCACTTGAAATAAGGCGCACTCGAAAGGCTCTATTTTATTATAGCTTTGTAGGAGGAGGGTATTATGATTTTGTCATGAAATGTACAACGCATAGAAGGAGAGATCTCTCGTCGGACTCTTTCTCTTTCGCTTTTTATTTTAGGCGGACCGGATCGGAGAGGTATATCACATAGCTGTCAAAGGAACGATCGATCGAAAAGCAGGTTCTCTGGTATGGAAAACTTTTTTGTTCATCGCGGTATCTTACTCAAACTCGTCATTGGAAGGGTTCAATGTGCTTCCTATATACATATGTACATACATATGTATTTGCAAAATCTTATCAATCTCGGACCAGTATATCATATAGTTGCCATAGGAAAGATCGTGATTCTATATTTTCTTATGCAAAAGGGAAATGTCTAAAAGTGTATTGCATATTCGGCGTGCCTTACTTTCTCGTTTTAATCAATTTTTTCAATTTAATTTTATTTGTCTTGTAATTTTGACAAGAACATTTTTTGCAGCGTTGCCACCTTGCAGAAATTTAGCCGTTCCTTCATCCAGAAATGCGAAAAGACAAACAATCTGTTGATTATGATAGACCCATTTGATGTTTCCTACCGGAAGGTGGTAGGGTCAGTTTGAGCGGAGTTCGGTTGGAGCACACGAGTACGCAACGTGCTCGTAGGGGGATTTTGATATTTTTCTAATTAGTGGGTCGTCTCTAC